GATTTTTTGTTTCATTGAATCTTTTCTTTTTCAAAATATCTTGGTATGTGAACATGAATAATTTTGTTTCAGTTTCTGTTTAACAAGGCACTTTAATATCAATTAAAATACAATTTGTTTTAAAAGTCTTTTCGGATTATACCTAAAATATTGTTATTATATGTGTAATGTATTTTTTGCATAACAGTCCATAGGAATCAGACCTACTGAGCTAAAACACTCTTCTTTACTTATTTTTTGAAATATTTTTTAAAAGAAAGACTTGCAAACATAAGTCTGTATTTAAATTTACCCTAAGTAAACAGCATGCCCGAGATTCATGCTAATGTTCATGGAAAATTTAAAAATTGATTTAAAAGTATAATATTGTAAAGGAAACAAAGAATATAACTTACAGATTGGAAACAGAACTAACAATCCAGGTAAATTACCAAAAATAGCCCTTGCCGTTTCCATCATAATTCGCATTGAATATGAAAATAATCACTTGAATCTTTAATGTATTTCTTTTTTTTAAATTCAAAGTTTAATTTTATTGTAAAGCCTGTGTTTGAAATACAATTAAGGCTAGCATTTTGCCCTTATGATATTAGAAATAGCATTATACAAAAAAAATCGCAGTAGGAAATAAATTGTTAAGTGTCCTAAAATGTAATTAATTTAAAAAGGAATAGCCCGTTACATAAATTTTAGAAATTTCCAGCTCGGTTTATACTTTTATAATATAGTTTGATAAAATATTCATGAAATCATATCTGAAATGTTTGCAGATTCGATCGGAAAATCCAACCTCCGGACACCAATCTTGGGGCGATAACAGGCAAACATCATTATCTCCAAATTCATATATTTTATCGACTCGGAGATGAATATTCTGATCTGAACTGCAGCATACTGCATTTTATTATGCAAAACGACCCTGTGTACCGTAGAGCAAATCTCTTTATAACAACAGTATCTTTACTTCACAATGTAAAATTATAATCAGATGTGCTGAAAAAAAAACACTTCAAAAACAGTAAATATTTAAATATTTACTTAATCTTCAACGAAAAGACTGTTAAAAGCAATAGAAGCAAAGATAAAAAAACAACAACCACATAAAACATTTATAGTATGTCCATAAATGAAATATGGGATATTTGTTTCATTTGGGGTATGATGCCCTTAAGTCAATCTTGTTTGTTTGTTTTATTGGATTTTATGTCAAACCCATACAGTATAGCTCATATGGCGACGTTTTAGCTTTTATGGTGGAGGATGACCTCAGGTGCCCTTACCTGCATTATTTCAGGCACGAAATGGCACCTGAGTAGAACCACCGACGTTCGGTAAACTAGCTGGATAGTTTCCTCACATGAGAAAATCCAAGGTTCCTATCGGGATTCGAACACACAGCGGTGAAGGGCAAGTAGTTTGGCAACTCGGCCACTTACACTCCCTTAGTTAATCAAAACAACTTTTTATACAGTTATATGAAATGTACAAATTAGCCTTAGATAAAATGGTATTAAAATATACAATTTATTAATTTCAATTCCAGGATTTTTAAATACTTATTCTTATTTAAAAAAAGTAGAGGGACATACGTGGTCTCGATTTAACAATTTTGCGATATGTAGGTCATTTATAAAATATAAATCCGAAGTTTATCCTATTCGCTAGATCTATCGAGTATTTATATATTGTGTGCATTGACCAAAGTTTCAAATTAATGGGAGATAATTTGAAATGATGCACTCCGATGAAGGACATGCTATTTATAAACGTATTCAACGAAAGGAAGTTTATTTGCGGTATTCAGCTTGAAGGTCACTGCGTTTCATAACATTTTGGAAAGACAGATTTTATAATTACTTAATTTTTAAATCTTGAACACTTTAGAGTGGATTTATCTTAAATGAAATGTTTATATTGTGAACTGTACATATTGGTATGGGCTGGAATTTGGTATGATAGTTAAACCTGACAACATGTAAGGTAATCAATACTTTTAATATACATTAAATTTTATGTATTATTTACTTGTTTAAACATGCTTAATCGATAAACAATTTATTCAATTTGCACATTTCATTAGTCTCGTAACGTATTGCCAGGGAATGTGACTGACTAACTGGTCATATATCTTGGGACTGCCATCGAAAGATTTTTGATTTTTGAAGCATTTTTCTCCGGCAATATTACATTAAATATTTAACAGTATCTGGAATGATTTGCTGTTTAACTGACCTTTATCACTAGCTCTACCATTGTAATAATTTGCTTAATCTTTTTTTGCACTATTTTTAATATGGCAAAATGTAAAAAAAAAAATTACAAGATACACAGAGGTTAACAGATTTATACATGTTTTGTATCTCATTTTGATGTTATATATGAAATCTTTCGAGATCACTTAATGACTAAAACGAAATTGTATCACTTCCGGCGAAATCATTTTGTATTATTCAGGTTTTGTTGATTTCAAATTTGATCATGGACAAAGGATATAGTATAGATAAATGGACAAAGGATATAGTATAGATAAATGGACAAAGGATATAGTATAGATAAATGGACAAAGGATATCGTATAGATAAATCATCATATAAAACTATATAGAAATTAAACTTAATTGAAACAAATAACGATTGAGTTGAAAATTGCGTTTCCATATCAATTTCATGCTGTACTTAATATAGTCTATATATTGTAAGAGTTCTAGAAACTAACAAGAAGTCATACACATTCATTTATTAAACTTGCAACAGGTCAGGCAGTTGCGTTGCAAGAAATAATACAGTCATGATCTAAGACTTTATTCATATTTGGCAATATGTGTCCCTTGATGCTTATGTCAATATATCTTTTGTTAACCATACTGATTTCTTGACGCTCATAGTGCATGTTTAAGGTAAATAAATACAATTTGACATAGCAAAACATTGTTTGGCATGTTTTCTGTCAATGTTTAGCTGTGTAATAATTTCATCAGAAATAGTCATAATATAAATCAATTGTTATAATTCATATCATTAAAAAACATAATTACTTACACTTGAACATATTTCCAGATGAGAATTTGCGTAACATCCAAATGAAATACAGTTTGCATAACTTCTCTATACTATTATCATCATTTATAAAGGGAGATGACTTTTAAATTTAATAAGCGACATTATAAAATGTATAACTACCCTTGCGCAAAAACTAGAACATGCTATTTATAAACTTTTTCGGAGAAAGGAAGTTTAATTAATCTATGCCGAAAACTTGTAGGTCAGTTTCAAAAAGAACATCCAACTAATTCATTTTAATCGTGTAAAGGTCGGATAATAATATAGATAAAATAAATAACTGTAAGAAAAGAAGAAAGGTAAGAAAAGGTCTTTCTCTTTCTTAATATTTGTTTCCCCCGCGTTTTTACATAAGCTATCGGTGAAAAAATAAGGAAATAAATCATACCATTTTTTCTTTATTGTATCATATTAGCTTACATTTGTGAGACGCATCTGAATTGGAATTAGAAAAGTAAAAAGTCGAGCGTTGCCCCGCCGGCAGTTGCTCTTGTCTTTGAAATACAGCATTATCGTAATGTTACTATGCGATAACTTACGTATTGACGTAGTTTTTGTCTTAATAAATGGAGTCTTCCTTGTACTGGAAAGCCTTATAAAAAGTGTGAAATTGCGTCCCTTTACTTAAGAAAGCGTATGTTGTATTGTTGTTATTTGGCTATATTAGTGATTCACAGTCATACTTACGGAAGCGTCCTGGTGCCAATTCATAATGTTTTATAAAAAAATAAACTCCTACGTAGGAGATAAAAAAACCTAATTAGGAGTTTGTAACTCCTACGTAGGACTTTTAAACTCCTACGTAGGACTTTATAAGTCCTACGTAGGACTTTGTAACTCCTACGTAGGACTTTATAACTCCTACTTAGGAGATAAAAAAGTCTAATTAGGAGTTTAAAACTCCTACGTAGGACTTTTGAACTCCTATGTAGGACTTTTTAACTCCTACGTAGGACTTTATAACTCCTACGTAGGAGATAAAAAAATCCTAATTAGGAGTTTGTATCTCCTACGTAGGACTTTATGACTTTATAAGAAATGCATACAGAATGCTTCGCAAATCTCAACATTCCGGACCGGTAAATCGGCGAAGGAACAAGACACTTAAACCCCCCCCCCTCCCGGCCGAAATTTCAAATCTTAAATATAGATGACATTTCTACGGAAGCGTCCTGGTGCCAATTTAATTCATGCTCTGTAAAAAAAAGATAACTCCTACGTAGGACTTTGTAACTCCTACGTAGGACTTTATAACTCACACGTAGGAGATAAAAAATCATAATTAGGACTTTATAACTCCTACGTAGGACTTTATAAGTCCTACGTAGGACTTTATAAGTCCTACGTAGGACTTTATAACTCCTACGTAGGAGATAAAAAAATCCTACTTAGGAGTTTAAAAGTCCTACGTAGGAGTTATAAACTCCTAATTAGGTTTTTTATCTCCTACGTAGGAGTTTATTTTTGTATAGAACATTATGAATTGGCACCAGGACGCTTCCGTACATACTAGTGTCACTAGAATCATGATTTATTTTAATGTGTACGTTTATTATTGAATTATGATCGGTGTTCATTAAAGAGTTTAATTGATTTATTGATTGTTGATACTTTAATGAATACGATTAATATCGGTTAACACAACAAATTTGTCCAATTAAATTTTATCGATTGGTTACATAAGAAATAGAATTATTTGTTTGCAGTGTAAAGCAGATATATTTTTTTAATATCTAAAATAAAGGTCACAAGTCAAGTGAGATATTTCTTTTTCATTTGAAAATTAAAATGCAACCCAGCGATCGATAAAGCAATACACATAAATTGTTTTTCATATGTGGTTAATTAAGATGTAAGTAAAATTTCGATATGCGCCAAATTGAATAATATAACCTTTTAAGTAGAAAGGAAAATAGTGATAAAACTATTTTCTGTATTCCAGGAATGGCCGTTTCAGGACGTAAACAAGTAGACCTGATAGGATCAGTAGAAGCAGGATCAACGGAAGACTTCGATCACTGTTGTGAGCCATGTCTTACCACAGGTCAACGTATAGAAGCTCACGGGTTTTGTGTCACATGTCAAGAATACCTTTGTAAAAATTGCCACGATGTCTACAGGAAAACAAAAGTCTTACGAAATCATCAAATTTTGCAGCGTATTGATTTTGATAAGATTCAAGCTACAAGGAAATCAAACAATGAATGCACTGAAATGTGTCAAGTTCACAAAAAAGAAATAATCAAATTTTATTGTCCATCACACCATGCACTCGGATGCAATGATTGCATAACTTTAGGACATAGAACATGTAAAGTTGATTACATACCTGAAAAATGCGTAGGTGTCGCAGATGGGAAGAAGTTCGATGGCGTCATGAAGAAGCTCGACGAAAAATTAAAAGAAGCATCAGAAATTTCGAAAAAGGCTAAAAACAGTAGAAGCAACATAAATGATTACAATAAAGAAATCATCAAGGCGATCACTGAATTCAGAAAAGAAATAAACGACCGCCTAGATCTGATGCAAAAAGATGTTTTAAATAATGCCGAGGAAATAAAGTCCAACACCAACAAAATAATTCAACACGTCCTTGATACATGTGAAAATATGATTTCCAGTATAAAAGGCTTGCAATTAAGTCTACATGCAAGCAAATCAAATCATCAAGATGGTCAACTCTACATTGACATAAAGCGGGCAGAATCTACGCTGAAATCAGATAAATTAAATGACGCAGAACAAACATTAAGGCATACCAATATGCACTACTCATTTCAACGAAATTCTGAACTCGAGACATTGTTCTGTAAGAAAATGGTCTTCGGTGAGATTGTCGATCATTCTCGTCATGAATCTACAAAAGTAACAAAGACTGTTGATCGGCTGGTTGGGAAAGGAGATATCAATGTTAAAACTTCATCAGATAAGATGAATAGTTCTATTACAGGATGTGCAGTTCTCAACACAAATAAACTTGTTCTAGCTGATCGTAACAACAACAAGATAAAATTGATATCTATAGAGAACAAAGTTGTACAGGAAAAGAAAGCTCTAGACTCAGGGCCATTTGATATTGCTGAAATGTCTCAGGATCAGTTTGCAGTAACAATACCGTTTATCAAAGAAATAGTGGTCATGACAACAGACGACAAGCTATCATGTGTCCGCAGTATTAAAGTGGAAAGGAAGTGCTATGGTATAGACAATAATCAGGATCGTCTTTATGTTGCTTGTTTGTCTCCTCCTAGTGTGACTGTACTGAATACACATGGTGATATCCTGAATAACATCTCTCTGAACTTTCTTTCACCTGACTATGCCCCGTATATTGCTGTGAGAAAGGATTCCAAACTTCTGTATATCAGTGACCGTGGTAACAACAGTATAACGAGTGTATCATCATTACAAGGGGACGTAACAGCTATATATAAACATACAGATCTTATTAGACCACTTGGAATGTTGGAGTTAGATGACGGGTCATTACTTGTCTGCTGTTATAGTAATGGATCAATTCATAAAGTCAACGGAGACTTGAAGGAAGGGAAGATGATGCATAAAGATAAAACAATTCTGTATTCAATATGCTACAGTTCAAGCTATAATGAGGTCTATGTTGGTTGCTGTGATGATAACAAGTTGAAAGTTTTTGACACACAATGATCAATTGATGAAATTTTAATTTGATAACCGAAATGAAGATTGCATTGCATTAATTGTTCTTAATTATAGAAAATGATAAAAGTACATTTTGTATTATTATTATTATTATTATTATTATTATTATTATTATTCTTATATTTTTATTATTATTTATTATTATTATTATTATTATTATTATCATCATCATTATTATTATTATTATTATTATTATTATTATCATTATTATTATTATTATTATTATTATTATTACTATCATCATCATTATTATTATTAATATTATTATTATTATTATTATTATTATCATCATCATTATTATTATTAATATTATTATTTTTATTATTATTATCAGCAGCTCATGTGTTTCAAAAATATCTCTTTATATCAAAAAATCCTTTTCGTCGATTTGAAACTATGCAAATTGTCGCCGATAATTTTGTTTTGATATCAATTTTTTCATATGCAAAATGATCATCCTTTTTACAAATTAAAACGTCACTGAATGATTATGTTTCATATAAGGAATAGGCTAGCTATTTAATGAGATATTCTTTTAGATATAAAGATTTTATAACAAGGATATTTGGGTCTGTTCTAACGCTCTTCTATTGTTTCAACTAATAAGCTGTTCATTCAATGGTACTTTCATAACGATAGTGATAGTTTAAGGTAAATCTTAACTATTATTTCTTAAACGTTTATGTCTGCATATAATTATTTCTATAACTACCATCGTGATTTTTGTTATAATTATTATGTTAGTTTACGCTTCATCAAAAGATAAATATTTTATTTGTGTATTCTGCGTAGGATGAGCCTATTTAGGAAACTTTGACTATAGTGTGATTGTATAATTAGAATTTATTCTCTGAACTAATGGACTTATTTGATGTATTGCATATATCTGTAAGCATGCTGGGTCGTATATATACATTTTGTAAACAGTAACATTTTTAATAAATCTTGAGAAACAACACCATCATATGATATTTGTACATTACCGATAAAGTGTGTGATACGACAAAAAATTTGCGCTGAGACTACAACTAAATATTTTTGGGAACGTTTTTTTCTATTGTGTTTTGTTATGATAAACAAGCATTAGATTACAGACATACATACTATTTGTTTCCTCTTTGGAATTGCTATTGAATGTATAGTATGCATTGAAAAGTTCAGAAATAGGGAGCTTTTTACTTAAAGGCACTCACTATCACTTGTCATTTAATTGTAAATTATGTTAGAACCTGATCATCTTTTGTTATCACACTAAAATTTCGTTATCAACAGACAACATTAAAGGTTGTCCATCCGATAATAATTTTATAAATGTATGATAAAACTTTAGCTACAATGTTATCTCTTTTGCTATGTATACATTTCAAGTTTTTTTTTTATAATTTGGCTAATATTATAGTGTGTCATATTGAACAAGATAGAAGATTGTGTTTATATTGCATATTGTTAGTATTAATTCCAGTTCAATAGAAAACTGATTCAATTTTCTACGTAACATTGTAATTAACCATTGAAATGAATTAATTTGTTTGTTACATTGAATTGGAACTTACATTGTATTGGATATTACAATTATTAATGAATAATAAATAAAAGATTTAAGACCGTGATTTGATAATATAAGGATGTTACACCGGCTGCCAGTACAGACCGGAATATCAAGCTCGTAATTGTTTACGGTGTGGTAACGAGGCTCTGTCCAGTTTCCGCTAAATATTATCTGAGAGCTTAATAATCCCGGTCTGTAACGAGAGCCATTGTTTGATTCTTTGTCTTGCATATAACAAATAAATTATTGTTCGGAAAGAAATTTCGAAAATCAATATTTTCATTGAACACTTTTGTCTTATAGTAGCATAATTATGTATATACAATTTTATTCATAACGGTAAAATATCATTCTAAGAACCAATTCATTCAAAAATGGTTCTTACGTCATCTGAAGCATGCGGCTTATATAACTCGGGGGTGTAAGAAAGTTGTTCAAGCACCCGTGTTAGCAGTAGATAATCCAGTCTAATATGCAAGAAAAAATGTCGACTACATTACCTTCAGCTTTTTGTCATATCACATTGACTTTAGAATGTAAATAATAAAAAGGGAACTTACCGAATATGTTAGCAGATTAGTTGTTTTAACAATCAATAGATGGACAGATAGAAAAATGTATAAACTATATGATAAATAGTTTGATTGATTCATTCATTGAGATGTTTCAATGGATCACCACTTTTCCCAAATTTTGACACCTTTGCCACCTTATTGTATCTCTCAATAAAACTTCTGCTCTTGTGATTGAATTATGTCTTTATTTATTTCTTCTGCGTGCTTTAATTTGATCTAAGAAAACAGATGATGTTGTCAATAAATGAGCCAAATTGTCTGGTTCTAATACCAGGTATATTAAAGGAGGAATAGTAAAGATAAAGAAGAGAGAGAGAGAGAGGCGAATTTATACATGAAAGATGTATATGTACATTCGTCTTTTATATTTTTGGTCTGTTTTTGGTTGTTATTATTTTGCAATTTTTGGTTGGTTTCTCTTACATTACCATGACGTTGTCATTATGCATCTTCCTGTTATCACGTGCTCTTATGTGCGCGTAAATGTCACATGCAATTAAATCATATTTACCCCTGTGTCCATTGTCAATTCGGACTCGAAGACAAAACTTGAATGCGGGAGTCTCAGTTAAATATTTGCAAAAGCTGTGGTAGTAATTTACATACAGTACTGATGTTGCTCCTGCAAATACCGCAAATATCCTTAGACGAGATCATCCCTTATTATTATGTTTTTTAAATCCTAAGCTAGGTACAATATTATATAAATCAAAGCTAATTAACTTAGTTGCGGTAGATATCATCATAAGAAAACGGAGCTGATTTTATATCTTTAAAAACAATATTTATACATTTGTAAACAATATAAATGCATGCCATGAACTTCTTAATCAGCTGTTTGTTGGTATATTTTGTAGTTTGGTTTTACGTCGCACCAACACTGTATCAGTTATATGGTGACTACAGCTTTACTGCAGATGTCCCTCAGGGCAAAAATGACGTCAGAGTAAAAAGTCCGTACCAGGATTCGAACTAACAGCGGTAACGGGCAATTGGCTTGAAGTCAACCTCTGAACCACTCGGAAACGAATGCTCCATCGCGTGTTGTAATATTTGAGAAATATAAGAGAAAATATGTATTTGTAATCGAAATATAAAAAAAGTTTGAAGTTGTATCGGACATATACATGTATGATATATCTTAATTAGGAAAAGGTAAGAGTATTTTTTTGATTCACCTGCCCATTTTCTGTTCAAATATTTACGAGTGAGCAATGATACTGTGTCATACATACTGATAAGCAAACCTATTTGTTTCTAGGTCTTACAAAAGATATAACCATAATTTCTATGTTCATAGATGTATTTGTTTCCCACAAAAGAAATCAGTGGAATCAATGATCTCGGAAAAATCACTGATAAAATTACTGTAAATAAGTGAGAATGTTTATATATAGTAAAATTTGGTGAACTGGTTAACATGAATGTAGCAATACGACTACGACAAAGTGATGAGCTGTAAAAAAAAATCTTGAAGAAAAAAAAAAAAAAAAAACAATTACCAACTACAGACCTATATATCTTTTATAATAAAATCTCTCGCAATTTTTATTGGGTTAAAATAGGAAATTAATTAAACGATTTAAAAAACTAAAAATGAGCGGCGGATGTGCGACTGAAGCTGTTTATTGTTTTTCCTAAACACATGTTTTGATGATAGCTGCGAAATAGACTTCAAAGCTACTCTCCCACACAAAATGGGTCTTAAAACATAAACACATATGTTTATAGTTATTAAATATGCATAGAAGAAAGTCCAAATTTTGCGTGTTCTTGCTATTATTTGCTGTAACTTTGTTATTTTTGAATGAATTGTCTTCAAACTTGAACATAATGATTTGCAAGGATAACCCTTAAAAATAACCAGACAGACCTTGACCTTAACTCATAAATGACCTTGACTTTGAAGGTCAAATTATTGAAATTTTCATTTTTTTCGGATGTAACTGGCTGTAACTTTGCTATTATTGAATGGATCGACATCAAATTATAACAGAACATTCTTAAGGACAAGATCTTCATGTTTATCAAACTCAAATTGACTTTGGCTCTTTAATGACATTTAAGGTAACTTTGTTCGGAATATAACCCTAAAACTGTAAGAGATATCATAATGACATTTTGTAGATAAATAGATCTTATTAAATTGAAGTGCAGTGCAAAAGAACCATAACCCTGCTTTACCTTATTTTGGAATTATTGTCCTTTTTTCGTTTGTACACTTTGAACTTTGTCAGGGGCATAACTTTGAATCTACAAAAAGTACCTACAATAAATTTTATGGCGGATAGAGCTCATTGTGTCAAAGTGCAGTGCAAAAACAGAAACTCTGCTTTGCCTACGTTTTGGTCAATACTGAACTGAAATAATTAGATTGTTCACCACAATGATGATTTTTTTCCGCAGTTTAAAGATATGAGTAGAAATTACTCATTTGTACAGCGTTAAGGTAAAATACAAACTGCGCTGATAAACTTACTCTTGTAACCTTGAACCTCTGACAAAACACTTGATGAATCATATCTCAAATACATAGAAAGAAAATTTCAAGGAAAAAAGGAGTTTACAAATCTAATATTGTCTATTCAAATGACACTTGACATATTGTCCTTTCAATTTAGTGCTTACTTTCGTAAAATTACATCTATTCTTTTGATTGTTATTTTATTTCCCGTGTCAAGATATTTTTCTTTATTGTAACATGTCATGACTGATGTATATATCGGTATAAACACTTTAATGTAAATAGAACAAGGAAGATATCATATCACATGGGTACCATTGTTTTATATTAGGGACACTCCAAACAAGAGTATATAATTGAGAGACAATTGTAAGAGTAGTGGAAGACACTTGAAGTATTTGAAATCCCGTCCTGCTTTGGGTCAGAATCTCTACTTCAAGTAGAGTGCGGATTCTTCCCTTACACAAATAAGCATAATTTCTCAACAGTTGGACTGCTATGACTATATTCTTAACTCCTCCGGGAATGTGTTAACCTTTCATAAAACTTGGTAAAAATATATGGTATTTCCGCTGATCCGGATATAACAAATATATGAGGAGGAGGAAACAGGTCAATCACAGGGTAAGATTTTAACTTTTTAAACATTTATATCAATTTCAAAGCTTTTTTTGAAAGGAAATCGAAATGTGATTCTACCCTTTTGACTTATCTCTAAATTTATCCATTTTGTACCGGATTTTTTTAAGTCTTTGTCGAGATATGTTTCGTCATGTGTTCTTGTGTGTCCAAAACACGAGTTTCACAGTCTTACGGCCAAACGATGCTAAACATTAATTGAGAATTGGCGAAAAAAAGAAAAAAAAAAGGAATTTCTGTCAAACCTCCAGTCGAGCTTCAAATGTGCTTAAAAGATCCATATGTGATATAGAAAACCATCTACGGAACAACGTACATGTATATAAACATTTTGACACGGACTGAGAGCGAATACTACTCGTATGATAAAGAATGTCCCTCTTAGGAACAAGCCAAACTGTAAAATATTAAACAACTGACAAATGAAATTGACCAAATCATGTAAAGCTATATCGTAGTATATCATATATTTTTACCGTTACTTACTTAAATTCATAGAGATGAAAATACTGTAAGATTCCATAAGTGAATTTGATAGATTTTCACTCACAGACACAAGTATTTTTATAGATTGCTATGCAGTGAAATATTTAAGTTAACTTTTTTATAAAAAACTGTCCTCAAAAGAAATGTTCTACTTTCGTGTCGAATGAACAACACAAAATTAAATTAATATATCACACACTACTTTGTTTAAAGTTTGCTACTTTTATGACAAATAATTTTACATTCAGCGGAGCTACTCTCTGCTGATAATAAGCTTCTAACATGCTCTTGGCCATTATTTGAATTATCATTCATGTTTGTACTTTCTACATGCGAAGAAAAGGATATTTGAGCCTCGTCACGACAAAACCAACATAATGCATTTGCGACCAGCATGGATCAAGACCAGCCTGCGCATCCGCGCAGTCTGATCAGGATCCATGCTGTTCGCTATCAGTTTCTCTACTTGATATAAAGTTTGTAAGCGAACAGCATGGATCCTGATCAGACTGCGCGGATGCGCAGGCTAGTCTGGATCCATGCTGGTCGCAAATCCATTATGTTGGTTTTGTCGTGACGCGGCTCATTTGTTTCTAAGATATAATGTTCATTTAGTTAATATCAGTTTTTATACTACTTGTGAAATGTACAAATTAGCCTTTAGATAACAATACACAAGTACATAGTACTTTGAACAGCTGCGCTGCTCTTGACCTAATTGATTTTGTTACTGTTCACTTATGATCAAGTGCCCTGTCAATTATGAAAACATTAAAGCACTCATTTGAATATCCGATTGCACTTCGGTTTTGTCCGTATAATTGACGAGAATTAATATTAATATTTTAATGGAAATGGCCTAGTGCTTGAAAATTGTCTGCACGGATATATGTCGATTTGTATTGTGTTTTACGGCATTGAAATAAAATTTACTATCTTTAATCCGAGCATTTTTAAATGTTAATTCTTAATTTTTTATATACTAGTCGACTCTATTAATTCTAGTATATACTTTACCAAAACTCATTTAAACAAATTTAAACAAAACGAACAACATACTTCAATAATGTTGAAAATATGAATAATAATAATAAATAAAAAATAAAAACAAACAAAAAAACAAACAATTAAACAAACAAACAATAAAACAAACAGACAAACCAACAACAACAACAAAAAAGATGGACATACGTGGTCTCAATCTTAGTATGTCTCAATCTTATCAATTTAAACCCGAAGACTACCATATTGCGCTTTTAAAAACGCTCAGTATAATTATTTTATAAGACTTTAAGATTAAACGACCATTTTCATTGGCTGAAATGAGTCGTGGCAAAAAGACGAAATAATAAGTCGTGGCAACAAGGTAATTCCCCTGCCCAAGAGATCATATCTTGAGACCACACGATGTTAAGTCGAGGCCACGAGATAATAAGTCGTGGTCACGAGATAAAAAGTCGTGCCCACGAGATAATATCTTGAGACAACAAGATAATAAGTCGTGGCCACGAGATGATAAGTCGTGGTCACGAGATAATAAGTCGTGGCCACAAGGTAATAACTCGTGCCCACGAGATAATATCTTGAGACAACAAGATAATAAGTCGTGGCCACGAGCTTTTATATTGGGGCCTCAATATAATAAGTCGTGGCCACGAGATAAAGTAAAACAGCAAATGTCACTCTATGCCACCGTAAGATCCTGAGATATTTTCGTTCTGCTTAGTGGAGGCGAGATATTGCCCAGACAAAAATACAATGTAGCACAATATCTCGTCGCGCAGTACAATTAGTTATTAGGACTTATTATTAGCCTACATTTGTGAGACGCATTGTGAAAACTGAGTTGAAAATGAATCAAAGTAGGATTTTACCTTTTGTTTTAATACACTTACTAAATTTTACTTTTCAAAAATTTTTAAAACAAATTTTGCTTTTTCTGTTTTTTTTACGTAGTGTGTTTTTCTTGATAAAGGTAGCCTACCTTGTACTGGAAAGCTGAAAAAATCGTGTAGAATTTCGCCCCTTTACTCAGAAAGTGTATGCTGTGTAATAGTCCTTGAATAAGTTGTCGTTTTTAAAAGAATCTACTGTTTTTGACTTGAAAGTTGATCATGAGTTTTTAATTTGTTGGGTTGTTATTGAATTATAATCGGGTGAAATTATTTAAGAGTAAGATTGCTTAAATGATTATTGATACCTTTATCAATACGATTATTATCAATTAACACAACTATGTCAAATCAAACTTTATCGATTGATCACCGATTTTAATACATGTTAATTAGCATATTTTTGTTTGAAGGGTAAACCGACAATGTACTGTATTTATCATTTCCTATATACATGTATATATAAATAAAAAAAAAACGTTTTAAGGTTGAACACCACTTAGTAATTTTCTCTTATATTACTTTATAAATTGGGCATGTTTGTCAAAGAAGTAGAACTTTTAATATCAAGGTCTTAAGTCAGTTGAGATTTTTTTTCAATGCTACAAAGCGATAGATTAAGAAATACACATTAATTGTTGATCATTTTTGGTTAATTAAGATGTGTTAAATTAAGATGTGTAAAATTTCGCTATGAACAAATTTAAATAACATATCCATTTTAGTAAAAAGGAAAATAGTGATAAAAAATTCTATATTCTGTATTCCAGAAATGGCCGTATCAGGGCGTAAACAAAGCGATCTACTAGGATCAGTAGCAGCAGGATCAGCAGAAGACTTTAATCACTGTTGTGAGCCATGTCTTACCACAGGGCAACATATAGAAGCTCATGGCTTTTGTGTTACTTGTCAAGAATACCTCTGTAAAACTTGCCACGATGTCCACAGAAAAACAAAAGTCTTACGAAATCATCAAATTTTGCAGCGTAATGATTTTGATAAGATTCAAACTACAAGAAAATCAAACAATGAATGCACTGAATTGTGCCAAGTTCACAAAAAAGAAATAATCAAATTTTATTGCCCATCACACCATGCACTCGGATGCAATGATTGCATAACTTTAGGCCATAGAACATGTAAAATTGATTACATACCTGAAAAATGCGAAGGTGTTGCAGATGGGAAGGAGTTCGATGACGTCATGCAGAAACTCGGCGAAAAATTAAAAGAAGCATCAGAAATTTCGAATAAGGCTAAAGGCAGTAGAATCAACATTAATGATTACAATGAACAAATCATCAAGGCTATCACTGAATTCCGAAAAGAAATAAACGACCACCTAGATCTGATGCAAAAGGATGCTTTAAATAATGCTGAGGAAATAAAGTCCAACAACAACAAAATTATTCATCACGTCCTTGATAGATGTGAAAATATGATTTCCGGAATAAAATGCTTGCTATCAAGTCTTCATGCAAGCAAATCAACTCATCAAGACGGTCAACTCTACATTGGCATGAAGCGGGCAGAATCTGCACTAAAATCAGATGAATTACATGAAGTAAAAGATACATTAATGCATACCAATATGCGCTACTCATTTCAACGAAATGCTGAACTCGAAACATTGTTCTGTAAGAAAATGGTCTTTGGTGAGATTGTCGATCATTCTCGTCATGAATCTACCAAAGTGACAAAAGCTCTTGATAGTCTGATTGGGAAAGGAGTTATCAATATCAAAACTTCATCAGATACGGAGGTATGTGGTATCACAGGATGTGCAGTTCTCAACACAAATAAACTAGTTCTAGCTGATTGGGACAACCAGAAGGTAAAATTGGTTTGTATAGAGAACAAACTTGTACAAGAAGAGAAAGCTCTAGACTCATCGCCATTTGGTATTGCTGTAATGTCTCAGGATCAGTTCGCTGTAACAATGCCGGACAACAATGAAATAGTTGTCATGACAACAGACGACAAACTATTATGTGTCCGCAGTATTGAAGTGGATAGGAAGTGCTTTTGCATAGACTATAATCAGGATCGTCTTTATGTTGCTTGTTTGGCTCCTTCCAGTGTGATTGTACTGAATATGCAAGGTGATATCGTGAATACCATCCCTCTGAACTTTCTTTCACCTCGCTATGCCCCGCATATTGCTGTGTGTAAGGATTCCAAACTTTTGTATATCAGTGACATTGGTAACGACAGTGTAGTGAGTATATCATTACAAGGGGAAGTTACAGCTACATATAAGCATATATATCTTAGAGGACCACGAGGAATGTTGGTGTTAGATGACGGGTCATTACTTGTCTGCAGTTATAAAAATGGAACAATTCATAAAGTCAAAGGAGACTTGAAGCATTGGAAGATAATGTATAAAGGTGAAGATGGAGACCGTCTAAAATCAATATGCCACAGTTTACGCTATGCTGAGATCTATGTTGGTTGCATTGGAGACCGATTGAAAGTTTTTAACACACAATGACCACAGTATTCAGTTTTCATTGATTTGAAAACGGAAGAGTGCATAAAATCATGTGGTTATTGTTCTTTATTATAGAAAATATACAATTATAAAAGAACTTACATGACTTTAAAATATTTATTCCATTATTACATTTAAACTTGTAAATTATGACTCATATCTTGAACAAACTTTTTCACATTGATTTCAATGCACTGTTCTATAAATGATTTTAGGTTTAACATGTTTATGTAAACATGTGCCTTAAAAATAGGAGTTTACGCTTCATATTTTATTTGTGTGTTCTGTGCACAATGAGCCTATTTAGGAACTCTGACTATAGTGTGATTGTATAAATTAGAATTTATTCTCTGAACTAATGGACTTATTTGATTATTTTATTAGCTTAAAGTTGGTTGTTGGAATGTGAATGGTTGGAATATTAATGGCTGCTCAGAAAATTTTATTTTTAGAGCAAACAGTATTGATAAATTAAAATTTGATATTATTGTTATTCCTGAAACACACCTCACAGGTGATAGAAATATTGAATTATCTGATTATCTTTTTTTTTGGTCATAATAGAAAAACTATTCATTCAAATGCACGAAGTGGTTCTGGTGGAGTCTGCATTTTTGTAAAAAATTCACTGATAGAGCTTTTTTATGTTTAAATTTTAGATAAAAGTTATGAGGGAATTTTATGGTTGAGTTTTAAATCAAAATATAATGATAAAATGTTTAATATTTGTGGTTGCTATTTGCCGCCTATGGGATCTTCAAGGATATGTTGATGCACATGATTATTTTGACCAGCTTTTAAGCAATATATATGAAGTACCAGAAAGTTAGGTAAATTTTGTATTATGGGTGACTTTAATGCACGTATATCTGATATGTCTGATTATTTTGAAGGTGTAGATAATTTGCCGTGTAGAAATGTTGTCGATTTTACAAAAAATACGCAAGGAGATATTTTCTGTGATTTTTTAGTCAACAGTAATTGCTGTGTTTAAATGGTCGTCACAGTATTTCAAATGATTTTACATGTATTTCCTCAAAGGGTATGTCTGTTGTTGACTACATTATTGTACCATATGAAGATTTGTCTTTGTTCTCAAATTTTTGAAGTCACAAGAGTGTCAGAAATTGCACCTACTGGAACAGAAAGTAGATATATGCCAGATCATTCTTTATTATCATGTTTGTTTGATATAAGTATGCTTTGCAACAAAACAAATTATTTCTGAAATACCTGTACTAAAGAAGTTAGTTACAAAATATGACACAAATGTGCTGCCTGAAGATTTTTGTCAGAACACCAGTTTTATTGAAGCTGTAGATAGTAAAATCTCTCTGTTTGAGTCCAATTTTTCTCATCAAAGTATTGTGATGATGATTTTATAACTCATTTAGTGTTAATATTAAAGATGAAATGAGTAAGAAGCTTCCTAAAAAGTGTTAGCAATGTCATATTTGGAGGCAGTAAGAAGAGGTTTTGAGTCTTGAAACCTTGGTGGAATGAGAAATTGCAAGAGCTATGGGGTAATATGTGTGAAGCTGAGAAGATGTGGGTTAAATCTAGAGGTGTAAATAAGTCTAATTTAAAAAAAGTTATGTTAATAGACGTAAATTGTTTGACAAGAAAGTGCAAATGTATAAGCGTCAGTATTGGCACAAATTGCAAAACTGATATTTTGTTTGATGCTGAACACAATAAACCTGATTTTTGGAAAATATTGGAAGATTAGGTGTAAGAGATAATAGACAAGGTTCTGTTCCGTATGAAGTTTTGGATGATGATGGGAACTGTGTTTCTAATCCTGCTTTAGTATTAAATAAGTGGAAAACTGATTTTTATAAACTTACTTAATACTGAAGTGGATGCTGAATATACATGTAATTCAGATGATGAAAGCAATGTATATACTGATAGTATTGCAGTGTCAGAAATATTTTCAATATCTGATGTTAAAAAAGCTATTCTCAATGTTAAAAATACTAGAGCAATGGGATATATGATGAAATACCAAGTATTGTTAAAACTTTATAAAAATGAAATTTTAGCACAGTATTTGCACGTGCTTTTCAATTTTTGTTATAACACTGGCAAAGTACCAAAAGCGTGGGGCAAAAGTATTATAAACCCTATTCCGAAAGGATCTACAACTAACACAAAAGACCCTCTCTCATACCGTGGTATTTCTATTACACCTGTTGTATATAAAATTTATTGTTCTTTGATAAATAAGAAACTTACATCGTATGTTGAAACAAACAATATTTTATCTGAAGGTCAAAATGGCTTCCGTAACGGTCGAAGTACTATTGATCATTTGTCGACCCTGACTAGTATTGTTGATACTCGTAGGAAAAGGAAGTTGTCAACATATTGCTCATTTATAGATTTAAGGAAGGCATATGACTGTATAAATAGGCAAATTTTATGGTGTAAATTAGATAGTATTTTAGAATGTAAATTGTTAAATGCTATTAAAAGTCTTTACAATAATGCTATGTGCTCAGTTAGAGTTAACAGTTTTTTAACTGATTGGTTTCATGTTAACACAGGATTGAAACAAGGATGTACCTGTCACCAATGCTGTTTAAATCTTTACATTAATGACCTTGCTACAAAAATAGACTCGTTAAATAAGGGTATTGATATTGATGGTACTAACTGTTCAATTTTGTTGTTTGCTGATGACATAGTTTTGATAACCGATAAACCTGAAAATTTACAGTGTCTTTTGAATGTTTTTAATACTTGGTGTGTTGAAAATAAAATGTGTATTAATATTGACAAATCCAAGATTGTGCAATTTAGAAACCCGTCTGTTAGAAAAAGTGATTTTGTATATTTCGATGTGGAGATTCAGAAATTGAGTATGCCTCTCAGTACAAGTACTTAGGTCTTGTTTTGACTGAACATTTAGATTATTCGGTCACAGCGAAATGCGTTGCTAAATCTGCCGGAAGGGCCTTGGGTTTGCTTATAGCGAGGGCACGCTCAGTTGGTGGATTTCCATATCAAGCATTTACCAAACTTTATGATTCAACTATTGTACCAATTATTACATATGGCTCTGGTATATGGGCAACTGAAGACTTTAAATGTATTAATGCAATTCAGCATAGAGCAGCAAGATATTTTTTGAACGTTGGTAAATATACGTCAAATGCTGCTGTAAATGGTGATATTGGGTGGCAACCAATGATTTGTAAGGTTAAAAAAACAGTTGTACATTTATGGTCTAGATTAGTTAATATGTCAAGTGAAAGACTAAACAGAAAAGTGTTTGTTTGGTCAAATAATGCAAGTAATAGAAACTGTAAAAATTGGAATTTTAAAGTTGTTAACATGTTTTTGAAGTATGATTTTAATGAACATGTACATATTAGCAGGTTTGCGTCTAAGCATGAAATATGTGGAAAACTTGTTCCAAAATTATATGAAGAATATGTCATGTCATGGCATGCCGATGTTAATCGTGTTAATGCACAGAAAGGAAATTGTAGAAATAAACTTAGGTTCTACCGATTATTCAAAACGTCTTTTCATGTTGAACCATACTGTAAATTAGTGTTAAATAGATCACATAGAGGTGCACTTGCAAAATTTCGTAGTGGAACAGCCTCAATCAATGTTGAGATTGGAAGATATAATAATGTCTTGTTAGAGAATAGAAAATGTTCTTTTTGTCACAATATTGGAATTAATGTAATTGAGGATGAGATGCATGTGTTACTACACTGTCCTTTGTATATTGATTTAAGACAACAGCTTTATTTTAAGGCTTGTCAACATTTTGCTAATTTTGATAGTGTAGATGATGTTGAAAAGATAAGGATACTTCTGAATGAGGAGGCCATTGTTAATTGCTGTGCCAAAACCTGCTTTCAAATGTTAGAAAAGCGTCGTGATAGTTTGTATACTGGATAATATTAAACTGTACTATATTTTTTTATTGTATATAAACATTGTTTTAGTATATAAACATTGTTTTAGTATATGAACATTGTTTTAGTATATGAACATTGTTTTAGTATATGAACATTGTTTTATCTTGCTCTAGAAAACCTTATTAATAATTCATATGTCTGATTAGATCAGTCCTGTGCTTTTACTGTTTAGACCATTTTGTAATGTTGAGCTTTATAAACTATTCCTTTTAAAGATATTCACGGTTTTAATTTATAAAAAACAAAACGACAGATTATCATTAAGAAGAGTTTTCTAGGTCATAGCATTTAGAATATGTGTATATATATGGTAAAGTTTAGAACCGAAAAATAAGGAGAGTTTGTTTTTGGTTATACAAATCAATGCCAAGTCATAATTTTGACACAACCACTGTTGTTATAGAACATGAATATTTGGGTCTTCATACAAATTAGCACATTACAATTTTCTGAACTATTTTGTTTATGATTAAATCTTTCAGCCTTTTTCTATGGGATAGACAGAGTAATTTGAATTCTAACTGTACTCAAATATGAATACTTGCCAAGATCTTTGACTTGACAAAGCTATGATTAAGAACAAACTCAGATGACATTTCATTTGATTTCTTTTTCTGTATATGTACATTAAGTGAGTAGTCATTAAAATATGTGATAGAGTTTTTAAGAAATTGAAAATGTATAGTTTTTTAATAGTCTCTAGCAAATCAAACATTTGATTGGTTTCATATATGTATGCCATTTGTTTTATCTTGTATTCTATATTGGTTGATATGTACATATATGTTATTGAGACTTAAATAAATAAATAAATAAATAAATACATGTATATAGAGAAAAATGATATTTTGCCGTGAACTTGCTATTCATTTATGTATGCAATGTTTATACATTGTATAAAATCATGTCGACCTTTTAATTAAGTAAAAAAAACTGCTGACCAATTAAATATCAATTCAAATAGATTTAAGCCGTAAAAGTCTTCTTATTCAATATGGTCAGCAAATTTAACGCTCTTTACATTCAGGCTAGAAAATGATGACCAGTTAAATATATAGTAGAATCTGCTGACCAGTTAGACATACAGTGAAAATGCTGATTAGTTAGATATATAGAGAAAAATATATTTTGCCGTGAAATTGTTATTAATTTTGTAATGTCTGCAAGTTTAATATATTGTATAAAATCATGTCGACCATTGAAATAAGTAAAAAACTGCTGACCGATTAAACATTAATTCAAATTGATTTTAAAGCCGTAAAACTCTTCTTATTCTATATGGTCAGCAAATTTAATGCTCTCTACATTCAGACGAGAAAATGCAGACCAGTTAAACAGATAGAGAAATTTATATTTTGCCGTGAAATTGCTATTCATATTTTAATCTATGCCAAGTTTATATATTATATAAAATCATTTACTTTAGTAAAAAAAAAAACAACAAAAAAACTGCCGACCAATTAATTAATTAAATATTAATTCGAATTGATTTAACCGTAAAACCAAAAAAAACCCCAAAAAACAGCATGCATGAATACTCTGTTATATTGCAAGCAAGTTATTGGAATAGATCGACATGAAATGGTACACTTGAGACTTTTATTACAGAGGGATAAAAAGCTCTAAAAATATAGCACTGTGGTGGATCGAGTTCCTTTTAAATAATACACTAATATAAAAGATCCTGTAACACAATTATTTTATGATTTTATATCATACATATAATGCTCAAATGAAGACTTATCAATATTGTAAGTTCCAAAAAGCATTATTTGTAAAACTATTACCGAATTTACATTTCATGTTTATAAAGGTAGGTAATTAGAAATTTATTTTCTCTAAAGTTTAAGTCACTGTGTTTAATAAGAAATGAATTCCTAATTGTAATGATTACATATACTGGGGATAAATATTTGTAGTACATATTTTACATATTCTTCGATGTTTGAAAATTGTTTTAGAAGCATGCACGTACATAATTGTATTGAATTTCACTTAAGTGTGGTAATTTTAACGATCATACAGGATCTTTAATTTAAAAAAAATTAAAACACTTCCTCCGTAAAAATCTTAAATGAGTTACAGTCTCACTTAAAAAAATATTATCTAGGCTCCTATATCAAAAAATATTTTCTTAAGTTTCCGAGTAATTTCGTCTTCTTTTAATAAAAAAAGCAGTGTTTGATGACCAGATTCCGTTTTATTTTTTAATTTAGCCTAATCCCAAACCACCCCATTTCCGGAACATGCGTATTCGTGAACAGGAAGTGAAAGTTGATTGCCAAATTTTGACAGTTCTATGATGCATTTCTTAAATCAATACACGCCTCAAGTTTGAATATGGCACAGCATAAGCAAACAGCTCATGAATTTATTCAAAGCACATTCAGTCCACAAATAGCCGTGCTGTGCAGTAATGATGCAGAGTTGTTATGTCAGAAAAACAACCTGTCATTTGTCCAACTCGTTCAGCCTTTTTGTAGACTGAAGACAGAGGGTAAGCTGAACCAGTACACATGTATTGATCTCTGTTATTTTATATTGCTGTCGAAGAAATTTTCAGTCGTACAGATAAGCTGTATAGTTATGCAATTAAGATTTCTGAAAACCCATTTATTCATAAAAAGTTACAAATACACACAGAGCCTTGAAAATGTAAAATAAATTATGATTTACGCAAATAATTTCACTTATTTCTTGTACAAAATGCATATCATCCTAGTCGCAGAGGAAGAGTGGTGTCGGAGCAATGCATTGAACTCTTTTTTTAGGTTAAACGTTCGGATCCCTCTAGTTCTCTTTGACTTTAATAAAGGGGGCGTCCGTGGCCGAGTGGTTAAGGTCGTTGACTTCAAACTACTTGCCCCTCACCGCTGTGGGTTCAAATCCCTACAGGGACTTTGGATTCTTTCATGAGAGGAAGCTATCCAGCTAGCTTACGGAACGTTGGTGGTTCTACTCAGGTGCCCGTTCTTGCCTGAAATAATGCACGGAAGGGCACCTGAGGTCTCCACCAGTAAAGCTGGAACGTCGTGATATGACCTATACTGTGTCGATGTGACGTAAAACCCTAAAACAAACAAACAAACTTTAACAAAGCCATATTCGTGCAATCACTGTTGGCCGATCACTGTTTATGATATCCAGGAAGCATTCAACTGGCATGACTTAAAGCACATGACTTTGGGTTTGAAATTAATGGGATAACAAAACAATGTAGCGATAACTTTGCTGAGGAATGTTGACTATCGTAATTAAGCAGTAAGAGAAAAAATAATGTCAGATAGAAGCCTCTAAATCTAAATCTGTTGATGATGGGGGTGTCGAACATCTTGACTAAACTTTTAAACATTTTATTTTCACCTGATTATCTTCAAAAATGCAATATATTACACTTACAATTATTATGGTACATGTATGTCACTCAGCTATATGATGTTATGTTCTGCTGATTTTTATCCATAAAATTTAATGCATCCATTGTTGAAATAAATAACAGCATAGTTAACACCCAGCTGATTTTGTGTGTTTTATATGACACAGTGACATGACGATTTGCATTTGTGAGATTTTCTCTTTTTAATCATTTAATGAAATAGAATTTTAAGTTATTTTATTCAGCAAACAAATTAACATTGAAATATTATTTAATGTGATTTTATTCAGCACACATAAAAGATCCGAACAATGTACAGCATAATGTACAACATCTGCGGATCAGCATGGTGGACATGAACTGTCAGATACCCCCAGCTGCAGCAGCCAAGAAGTTAATGAATGATGCCGTAAATAGTGAACAACAAGTGATGGCAGAGGGATCTAGAGGAAACGTTATATCAGTGGGAGATTATGACCTTCAGCTGAGCTGTATGAAGCTATTTATTTTTTCTCTAAAGGGTTTGAAATTGTTCTTTGTCCAATGGAATTGGAGTATTTCAAAAAAAAATTCTAAGCCATTTACTTTGGTAAATGCACTTTAAATAATCAGTCAATTAAATCAACTGTTTATGAAAATGATTTCCAAAACTATATTGGTAGGTGTTTGTAAGCATTTACAATATTAAATTGATTGAGTGGCTTTAAATGCTTTCTAAAGAACACAAAACTAGACCCAAGTTTCAAATTTTAGTAGTTCAATTAGACTGGCTATCAAAGAAAATATAAGAACTGAATGAAGATAGGATTGGCATTCTCTGATATTTTATCTATAATACTTTAGCAAAGATTCTTTAAATTCAACATTAATTTAAAATGTTATATAAACAAAGTACCCGTTAGCCTTAATTTGGCTAGCATATTACAGAAATTTCTACCAGTTCAAAGTCAATGAGACAGTCTTTTTCCTTTAGTGTAGAGGGCTATGTACTGCAAAATTTGCAAAGGCATGAATAGGATCATTCTACAAATTATTAACTTCATTCATTACATGTTATTGATTTACCATATGTCCGTGTACATGTATATTTAAACCATAGTTTTAGAATAGTGTCAGAATTTTGTAGTCAGTATTAATTGAATCTTTATTTGTAAATAATTTTGCCTATATTTTATCAATGTCATTGACATTTTGAAACCAGTGTTATGATGTAATCTTTATCTATTTGTTAACAGCTTCCACACCATGGTTTGAAGCTTACAGAGAGTGTTTCCTACAGACTTTACCACCATCTGATCATGAGTTCCTCAAACATTGTCTAGCTTGTATCCTTATAGTAGATTAACAATCATATAAAATGATGAAGTTCCATGTCATTTCGATTATATTAGGTTAGGCTGAAGCTAACAAAATGGAAATTATCCTGTCCTGTAAAAATCTTAAAAATCATGCTGTCATCCCATAAATTTCAATTTACATAGTACTGTTTTATTTATCCTCTAATTAAAGGGAAGGGAAACTGTAAAGTTTCATGCTCAACAAATGGCTGGATTCTGGCATGGTTTAATCGCATGCAGCAAGTAATTTATGGATTGTATGCAGCATCATGCTGCATACAATCCATAAATTACTTATCAGAAGTGTAAACACTCAGCCATGCCACCACTTTAATGACAATTATTGTGATTACTGTTTCTGGGAAACTGCTGAAAAACTGGTCAAGCAAGTCTGTTATTTTTGTAAGGGTAGAAGTTTGTCTGGTCAGTATTAAGAACAAATAGCTGTAATCTCATTTCCCAATAATTGACTGACATGTTCATATTTTGTTTGACTGTAGTTTTGAAAATTTTACATATCCTGCAATTAGGTTTTTATTTTGTTTAATACATTTCTCCTTAACACAATGCACCAGGTATATTTGTTGTGTCTTCCAACCACACAGACCCTCTGGCTATGTTACAAACATTGTCGAGTAGCCAACAACAACAGCAGTCGCAGTTCCCGAACAAACTGCCACACTGGTTCTGTCCAAACATTCTCAAATATTATGTTCTTGTTCATGACGTAGTGGAAGCAGAGGCCTCTAAGTAAGTTTTCTTGTATTATAAGATGCTCTTTTTCTAATTATTTTAAATTATAGTAATTATAGTCGACTGTAAAAGCCTTAGCCGCAGAGGGTTTGAATCCCGACAGAGACTTAAGATTCTTACAAGTGATGAAGCTATCCAGCTAGCTGATGAAACATCAGTGGTTTTACTCAGGTGCCTATTCGTGCCTGAAATAATGCACAGAAGATTTCCATCTACATGTACATACTTTATACATATGACATACATAATATTTCAACCGCTTCTACAGTATATTTTAAGAAATTTAACTAAGTATATAAATTTTCTTCAAATTTTCACAACAGAGGATGTTTACTTAATTTCTGTCTTATGCTTTTGTATACATGTATGTTCATGTAATTAAAGGATTGGAGGAAGGCTATTTTTCATAACTATTGTTTCTTTTGCATGTACTTTCTAGGGCTGAAGCAGTTTACCAAAGTATGAAGTCATCATTCGGTCATCAAAGCTGCCATTTGTTACAGATCAATTCTCGTTCATTAACGACGGTCGAAACAATGAAGATGGACACGAGTCTGCCAGATCCATGGGGACAGTTTCTAAATAAACCTATAGATGTAGGGGTACGTTTTGACAGTGTTACAAATATAGCTACCCATGTTACTTCTTGTATCTAGCAAACATAAGAGTAATAATTTTATTTGCCAATGAATGTCTTATCAGACCAAGTAGAAAAAGCAGGAAAGGGAATCTTTCTTCTTGTTCAGAAACTTGCGATACAAAAAGTTAGTGGGTATGCCACTTTGATCATCTTGCGGTTATTGATTAATAAAGTGACGACTAATAGATGCTTTATTGTTAAGGAACTAGCAAAGTGATGCTGCTTTAACGACCCTGTTAGCAAAATTAATCTGATTTGAATAATTGATGCGAATTGTGGATTGTGTATATAACAAAATATTGATGTATGCTTAGTGGGCATGGTATGAAAGAATTTGTTTTAAAATGACATATAACATAATTATGCTTTGGCAAATACCTTCCATGTTTAAAGATATGAAATCTAACAAAATTTTCTGTAACTGACTGAATTTTATCCTTTAAATACTATATCTGGAATGGTCACAGTTTTAATATTTGTTGCAAAGAAACCTGTCAAACACATGTTGCAGATGTAATAAATTGTGCTAACTAATGAAATGTAGAAATAACAAATCACTTGTGTTTTGAGCTGGAATTATAACATAGGCTTTTGTAGGCATGGGAAGATATTTCTAGCAGAGCTTTGTTACTAGTTGTATTATCAGCATTACTAACTTTTTAGTGGCAATAACTACATATACTTACCGTTATGCAACCAGTTTTGAGACGGACCAGCTTGCCCTTCTGTGTAGTATGAGTGAACACAATTCCAGTTATTATATATTCATTGGATGTCATAAACTTCACAACAGGTAGTTTTGAATTAAATGTCATACAAATTCAATTGTGGATGGATGGGAAGGTTTGCATTTAAAGCTTTTAGGTCTGTACTAACAAGGTGTTGTGATTTTAATTCTTTACAGAAAAAGCCTCAAAAGGCTAAATATTTTATACCTTGGGTAAGTGTTGGTGTGACGGTTTTAGAATTTTCTTCTTTGCATTGAGTAAGCATGCATTTTAGGGCTAGAATTTTGCTTCTTATGACTCACAATTGTTTTCAAGCTTGAAGGGTTTTTTTTTTTTTTGGCAAAAAAAAACAAAAAAAAAAAGTTCAACATGGCATCAGTTTTACTTCTGAAGTTTTTGTTGTTACATGTACATTGTATATGAAATAAAACTGCTACAGGTTACATTTTTATTTCACTTAAACCTTGCAAGTGTTCAATTTTAGCCCTACTATTCATTTTTCCATACATGAAGCAAATTTTAACATTGTTAAGTATTTCAGCTTTTCATATTTCTATGTACATTTTTTATTTTCTTTTTCTTTTATACATTACATGTGTGATTTGCATGTACAGTTGTAACTCTTTTTTTGTTTCCGATTTTTGTATGCTTATCTATTTGAGGGATTCACATGGTATTTTTTTATCTTTTCTTTTTAAAGAGCAGTCTAACGTGGGCAGTCCTTTTTGGATGGGGGGGGGGGAATGGGGCAAAACTTTTATGTTGAAGTATATCATGCAGCTGCCGGTGTGTCCTTTCCTTTCTTGATTCTATTCTTTATCGTACTTAGTACTACTTACTAACCATTTTTCCAGGGATATTCAGTAACAACTTATAGACTGATATTTTACATATATAATGTCCGTCCATGCTTCACTTACCTTTGGATTAGGTTTCAGACTGGTTTAAATAAGTTCAAGGTCACCGAGATGAAAAATTGAAATTTCTTCAGACTTCTTTTCTGTATAAAGTAACACCATGTGGAAAGCTTTGATCAAAGGGAAGGTAGGGAGTGTCCCAGCAGTGTTTAAAATATTTTTTTCTATTATCTTAATAACATGTAAAAGTAATACTGGATCTTTCTTAAAATTCTTTTAATAGCTTACTAAAATTCCTTGAGACATAATTATGAACTTTATTGTACAACATGGCATAAGTACAAATGTATTGATATGGCCAGTTATATATTAATAATGCCTTGTTTGGGCCTCTGTGGACAAGTGGCTAAAATCGCTGACTCTTTACCACTGGCCCTAACTGTTGTTGGTTCAAATCCCTTCAGGGACGTAATATTATTTGTGCAGGAGTTTTCCAGCCAGTTTAAGAAAAGGTTGGTGGTTCTACTCTGATGCCTACTCTTCATGCCTGAAATAATGTACAGAAGCGCACCTGAGTTCTTTTCTCAGAAAGTCGCCATACAATCATAACAGTGTTGGTGTGACTTCAGACCCAACCAGAAAGTAAAAAAGCAAGCATTGTAAATGAAATGTCAAATTAAAAAAAAATAATGAGGGAACTGGGGGTGGCAAAGGAATGAGGAGATAAAAGTATTTATTATTTATTGTGAGCAAGACCAAAACACTGCTTTTTATATTGTGTTCTATCTCGTAATTTTATTTTTTCATGTAAATCTAGTAGGACAGTAATATACAGTACTATATGGAATTACCTAAAAAATATTTTATCAGTTACTATTTAAATTTTGGAAGATTCCAGATAACAAACAGATTTGGATTCATGAGTGGTATTTTGTATGTCATAAGTACAATTTCATAGAGGAAGTGGTCAAGAGGTTTATTATGTCTCCCCCACCTCGGGGGGAGACATATTGTTTTTGCCCTGTCCGTCAGTCCGTCAGTCCGTCCGTCAGTCCGTCAGTCCGTCCATTCTTCGTTTCCGGACGATAACTAGAGTTCCTTTTGACCTACAGCCCTCAAACTTCATAGGATGATTGGTCTTATAGAGCTGATGATCCCTATTGTTTTTGGGGTCAGTAGGTCAAAGGTCAAGGTCACACTGACCGTTGGTCAATTTCTCGTTTCCGGATGATAACTAGAGTTCCTTTAGACCTACAGACCTCAAACTTCATAGGATGATTGGTCTTATTGAGCAGATGATCCCTATTGTTTTTGGGGTCAGTAGTTCAAAGGTCAAGGTCACAGTGACCGTTGGTCAATTTCTCGTTTCCGGATGATAACTAGAGTTCCTTTTGACCTACAGCCCTCAAACTTCATAGGATGATTGGTCTTATAGAGCAGATGATCCCTATTGTTTTTGGGGTCAGTAGGTCAAAGGTCAAGGTCACAGTGACCGTTGGTCAATTTCTCATTTCCGGATGATAACTAGAGTTCCTTTTGACCTACAACCCTCAAACTTCATAGGATGATTGGTCTTATTAATCAAATGATCCCTATTGTTTTAATGGTCAGTAGGTCAAAGGTCAAGGTCACAGCGACCGTTGGTTAATTTCTCCTTTCCGGATGATAACTAGAGTTCCTTTAGACCTACAACCCTCAAACTTCATAGGATGATTGGTCTTATTGAGCAGATGATCCCTCTTGTTTATGGGGTCAGTAGGTCAAAGGTTAAGGTCACAGTGACCATTGGTCATTTTCTCATTTCCGGATTTCTCCAGTTCCATTCCTGTTTCCATTCACAGTTATTCTCAGCAGTGGGGGAGACATGCGCTTTTTTACAAAAGCATCCTCTAGTTATATAGTAACATTTTTTTTTAGTTTTTAGTAAATGAGAATAATGATTGGAGCATCCATTCATTGCAACCTGTATTATCATTTACACATAATTATTATGTTACAGATTTTTTTTTTCATTCATAGGAAGGTGTTGATTACGATGCCGGGGGCAGCAGTGGTGCCGATGATTCCATGTTCCCAACAAGGCTGGACGAAGGTGCACCGGAAACAAACAACCATGTTCTAGACACAAACTCCCACTCTGATGAAGGTAGGAAGTTAAAATGTCTTCTTTTATTTACTAATTTATCAAAATGTGATTTCATGGGATCTCAATTACCCAATGGTTAAGATCACACTGACTTCACATCACTTGCCCTTCAGTGGAAGCTTCACCATTGTGGCTATGAGTCAAACTAGGTACATTGACTTATTTTCATGTGCCAGAGCTATCCAGTTTGCTTAAGGAAAAAATATGTTTTGCTCAGGTGACTGCCTTTGTATTATTTTCAGTGCAGGGTCTTTCTTCACAAGTAAACTTGCCTTGTGACCTTTACAGTTTCAGGTGGACTCTTTCTATAAATTACTTGTCCATCAATATCTTAGCTTATGGGAGATTAGTTGATTTGTTCTAAGAATATTGCAAAGGTGGGTATTTCAGTGTGTTTTTTTTTCAATGAATGGGACTGGAAACTTATTGTATGATTTTAGCCATTTAAAAAAGAGAAAGGGGATTGAAAAATGCATTTAGCTCGGGTTTTGAAACATCTGGGGATTGAAATATACATTTAAATTTTATAGAGGGTTTTGAAAATACATGTACATATAAAAAACCACCTAAGACAGCTGACATTGGAACAGCAAATAGTTTGTGAAATATATATCTTACAGGTATAGATGGTCTAGGTTCAGTGACTAACTCAGTTATGGACCATCCCTTGGCCTTGTCAGATGAGAGCCCGCTACAGAGCCCGACCTTGGAATACAGCTCGGACTACCAGGGCTCCACTAGCAGTCTCAACAGCGTTCAGTCAGCCATGTCAAAATCATCCTCATTTAATATGCAAAACAAAGGTCAATTTCCAGGACACGGAATGTGTCTCACTGCCAGTGATCAAGATCGCATTAGGATATTTATACACGAGTTTGCCGTGCGAGCTCTGATACCCTGGGCGGAGCGACAGATGAGAACTTTGAATGACATGGTAAGAAATTTTTTTAAGGGCTTGTTCCCTTTTAAGCAATTGAATTATTTGAACAACTCATTGTTTTGAATTGACTCATTTACATGCTTTCTCATGTTAGACTCAGTAATTCAGATTTCCAAAACAGAAGTATGGTTGTCTCTGTGTCAAAGCAATTCCATTTTAAATGGAATTAATGGAAGAAAAAAGAAATAGAATAGTTATTTGTACCTTTGTAAATCCTTTCGATGTACAGAGAATTTTTAGAACAGAAGCAGTTGGTCAATTTCAAAGATTTTATCTTATAGGAGCTTTTATCATAAAGAATATTTTTTTTATCAATATGAGAAAAAAAAAAACTGATCAATTTATATTAAGGCTGATATTAACAAAACTAATATCAGAGTAAAACTTAGCTGCCCTGCACTTCTTATGACGGGGGATATAGATTTTGAGTTGACATATTTCTTGTTAAAAATAATTTTATTTGTAGCTTGAGCTTATAACACTTACACTTACTTATATTTTACAGCTCATGTCAAGAACTGGCTTGAGGAAGTCACTGTTTGGAACAGCAAAGAAGTTGTTCGGAGGAAATCCAAGTAAAACTAGCCAAGCAGCTAACACAGCCACTACAGTAGTGTAAGTATCATTCTGCAAGTAATATCATATTGCTTTGTATGGTGCGTCCGTGGCCAAGTCGTTGACTTTAAGCCATTTGACCGTCACTGCTGTGGGTTTGAATTCCGGCAGGGACTTCTGATTTTTAGCTCGACTATTCGATAAGAATAAGTAGAGCTATTGCAGTCACCCGAGCGTCGGCGTCGGCGTAACCACTTATGTTAAAGTTTTTGTAATAGTTTAAATATTTTCAAAGTCCATTGACATATGGCTTTGAAACTTTGCACACTTGTTCACCATCATGACCCCAACCTGTAGACAGGAGGAGGTAACTCTATCAAGCATTTTGACAGAATTATGCCCCTTTTTCAACTTAGAATTTACGTTAAAGTTTTTGTAATAGTTCAAATATTTTCAAAGTCAATTGACATATGGCTTTGAAACTTTGCACACTTGTTCACCATCATGACCCCAACCTGTAGACAGGAGGAGGTAACTCTATCAAGCATTTTGACAGAATTATGCCCCTTTTTCGACTTAGAATTTACGTTAAAGTTTTTGTAATAGTTCAAATATTTTCAAAGTCCATTGACATATGGCTTTGAAACTTTGCACACTTGTTCACCATCATGACCCCAACCTGTAAACAGGAGGAGGTAACTCTATCAAGCATTTTGACAGAATTATGCCCCTTTTTCGACTTAGAATTTACGGTAAAGTTTTTGTAATAGTTCAAATATTTTCAAAGTCCATTGACATATGGCTTTGAAACTTTGCACACTTGTTCACCATCATGACCCCAACCTGTACACAGGAGGAGGTAACTGTATCAAGCATTTTTTTTACTATCAAGCACTAAGAATAGTCGAGCATTGCTGTCCTACCGACAGCTCTTGTTTTATATGAGAAAGCTATCCAGCAGGCTTATAAAAAATTAGTGGTTCTACTCAGGTGCCTATTCGTACAATAATATACAGAAGGTCTTTCTCCACCAGTAAAGCTGTAAAATCCTATGTTGGTGTGATGTAAAACCAAACCAAAAAGATAGTGCTTTGCATGTTGCTTTAGAACTGTGTTTAAATCTTTCATCCATTGATAGCTCATGGGTTTCTGTAGTGGAGTGGTAATGGTCATTGACTTTGAAATATTTGCTCTTTACTGCTTTGGACTTGGATGCCATTAAGGACTTAGATAGTTTTTCATGTGAGGAAGCTATATAGCAAGTTTGATGCTGATGCCTGAAATGCTCTACAGAACAGTAACCTACAGATATATACTCAAGGTGTATAACGGAAATGTCACTGCCAACTTTTAAACACTGTGTACTTGGGTTCTGGTATAGTGGAGATCTCTTATGAGCTACAATTGTATGACATCAATATATTCAGTAAAAATTGCAAATCTGGTTTGAACATCTGTGATAAGTGAAACCTGCAAATATGGTTTGAACAATATTGTACTTTGTGATACAGAATACAGAAATAAAATACTTAATCTTGACTTTTTTCAAATTTATCAGGTATTCCAAAGATGCACCAGAGTTGCAGATGAGGAGATTGGCCGACATAGCATTCCTGTTTCAGCTTTACGACTTCGCCTACCAGACGTATCACACTGCTAAACGAGATTTTAATAACGATAACGCTTGGCTACATTTTGCTGGAGCTCTGGTAAGCTTGTCTGATTTATTCTTATTTCATTACATATTTTCTTTAATAGTTTATTTTCTTTGATTTATTTGATTTAATAACTTATTTTCTTTGATTTATTAGTATTTATAAAAAAAATGTTTTTATTTATTAGTATTCACAACTTTTTTCTTTGATTTATAGTATTCATAACCTATTTTCTTTGATTTATTAGTATTCTTACTTGTTTTTAGAAGAAAAACATTTCATGTTGCTATTAATGAGATGTTATTTGATTATAAGATTATATGTTCTTTCTGTATAGCTTATATAAAACTCAGATGAATTTATTCAACTATTTCAGGAAATGGCTTCGCTTGCAATATTCATGCAAGGTAGTCAGGGTCAAAGGGCATATCCTGATCATTACATGGAGTCGGCCATTACTACATATTTACAGTCATGCAAGTAAGTTCACTAAAAATAAGGATCAGTTTCTGGTGTTTTATGTGGAGAACAGGTGTGAGTATTACTATTATTTAGGGGCACCTTTTTGACAGTGTGAACATTAAACAAGATTGTTGACTTGGAATCACTTTCACTGACAATTGTATACTCAAATGTCTTAAGTAGTATGGATTCTTTAATGTATAAGGAAGCTATCCAGCTAACTTTTTATGTTGATGTTCATGCTCAGCCACCTACCTGATTATGCCTAAAATTAAAATAATGCAGGTAAATGCTCCTGACAGGTGTCTGTGGTGGAGTGGTTAAACCACTTGCCCTTCAGTGTTGATTGAAGCTGCACAAGCATCTTTGGATTATTTTATGTGAGGAAGCTATCCAGCTAGCTTCAGGATGTCTGTGGTTCTACTCAGGTGCCTTTTTGTGCCTGAAAAAATGCACGATGGGGCATATTAGGTCATATAATTAAAATGGACGAAATGAAAACAGCTCAAGCCTATTTTGTTTCAGAATAATGTTAAGCATTGCAAGAAATGTTAACTCAGGAAATGTTAAAATCTTGCAAATCATTTTAATAAAACAAAAACCCTCTGTAACATAATAGACTTTCATTGGTTATTATACTTACTATTGTGCATTACATTTATAATTTCAGGAACATTCCATATGCTGTACGAGCAACACTTGTGAGCACCGAGGCTTTGAAAAGTCGCGGGAAATATAAAGAGGCTGCCACACAATTTATTAAAATGATGAGTGAGGTATGTTATCTGAACAGTCAAAGTAATACATTTATAATTATAGCTAGTCAAGATATAATTATCTTTCCACACAAGTGAAGGATTTGTTTTTGAAGCTTTATAGGCTAAGTCATAAAATGTTTGATAAAAAAAACATGATTTATGTACGTTTGATTAAAAAAAAACAACAACATGATTTATGTAAGTTTTATTAAATAACAAAAAAAAAAAAAGATTTTTTTTGTTTGATAAAAAACAAGATTAATGTAAGTTTGATAAAAAACATGATTTATGTAAGTTTGATAAAAAACATGATTTATGTAAGTTTGATAAAGACATTTTTTTTGTTTCAGAAAAATAAACGTGATGAAAAGAAACATGATTTATGTTTATTTTGTGCTTTGTGTTTGTAAAAATGGCTGATAAATAAAGGGATTTTTGAAAGTAAATCTGAGATTTTTAAACCATCTTATTTAGTCAGTAATAATATCTACCCCTATACTGAGTGAACCTGTCATTATTTTGCCAGTTATTTGAGGCCAAGTGTGGTTTTAACAACATGTTTGACCGTATTGTAAAATTAAGTCATTACTTATTATTAGAATTATATTTTACAGGAATCTGATTTACGGAGTGCCCTATTATTAGAGCAGGCAGCTCACTGTTTTATCAACATGAGAAATTCCATGGTTCGTAAATACTCCTTCCATATGATACTAGCTGGCCATAGATTTAGTAAAGCTGGACAGGTAATTATTTGTTTTACAGTTCGTTTAAAATCTGCTAGTATTTCTGAGGTAATCAGTGAACTTGAATTTTATTATTTGAGGAAGTTACACAGTTTGTGTTTCTGGAAGGTCAGTGGTTCTACCTAGGGGCCTAAATATGTGTCATATAATATATATGGTCTTTCTTCACAACCTCAGCTGAAGAGTGTTGTGGCGCATGGCCAAGTGGTTAAAGCGTGCAACTAGTAATCTAAGGATTTCTGACCGCATGGATTCAAACCCCGCAAGGGGCAAGCCATTGTGTCCTTGAGCAAGAATTAGAGCATTAGATTGTGCTAAAAGTATTGGGAACTTCCTGTAGACCGACTTTATAGAATGGTAATTGGACTTGACCTACCAATTTTGTGGAATGGGTTTGCTCAGCTTTGAATTTGGAACAGTTAAAAATTTTAAGGGATTTCAATATAGAAATATAAAAAATTTAGTTATCCAAAAGTATAATCCAGATCTGAATGCATTGAAGAGCAGGCTGGCCTGGTTCTGTACTAGTTACAAAGGAATAAGTAATAACGGTCATAATTTTATGCTTGGACCTGTGTACCTTAGGTGTTTTTTCACAACCAATTCTATTCTAGTGGACGTATTTAAACTCAATTTATGTCAAACTTGACAATAGTTTAAAAAATACTGTATAAGTGGTTAAGTCAGCGACGCAGAAATATTGGCAAATTTTGTGAATTGACGAAAATCGCTAAATTTTCCTCTAACTTAAATATCAACCAACCTGTCATTAAAGTATGCCTTTTCAACATTCGCTAATATTTCCTCAAGCAAAATGTCTGGAATTTTAAATTCACTTACATTTTGATATGCGGAAATATCCACGTATACAGTATAATATGTTAAATATGAATAATGTAAAGCAAATAATAACAATAATTTAGTTTCTTTGTATCCTGATTCACAGAGAAAGCATGCTCTAAGAGCATACAGTCAAGCACTACAGATATACAAGGGTAAAGGATGGTCCCTAGCCGAGGTTAGTATTCATTTATAGCTTGTTCATATAGATAACATACATGTTTATATAATTGTTCTGTGACAGATTCTTTCTTTGTCATTTCTTTCCAAATATAATGAGGAAATATAACTGTAAATCCTATTTTTCTGCTATGTACAAGAACTATGTATATCGTAACTCTAAAACTACTGCATTTTGTGGAATGGGTTTGCCCTGCTTTGAATATGGAACAGTTCATTCTATACCCCATGAAGTACTACTTTTGCCAATAATTGTTTTATGATTGGTACTTACTTTTAATTGAAGAGTATACCATGTTTGTTAATCTAGTGGGCTATGATGTTTCGATTTCTTATAAAGGGATCTCTTGTGTCAGAGATTTAAAGGAACTCCACTGAGGTCCAAAAGCCTAAACTGAATTTCTTATGTAGATCAACTTGGGCACTTGAAGCAGAGAGCTATGCAAAAGATACTTTGTGAAAAATACTCAACATAAATTAAAAGTCACATGTTTGTGCTATTTTAGCCCAGTTTGGGTGAAAAGCATTGCAACCCTTTTAAATTTTGGATCATTTTTCACAATCAGAATAATCATTTTGGAAAAACTGAATGAGCGTACGATCTGAAAATTTTCACACATGTTATTGGCCTAGACTTACATCAAACGAACCATTAATCTTGAAAAATTATTTTTAATCCAGTCATGTCATAAAACCTCAGTGGGGTCCCTTTTATATAGGAACAATTAAGAAAACAAACCAATTTCTATATATAGAAAATCTGGTTTTCAGGGAACCAGAAAAAAATTCTTAGGGGTCCATATTTTGAATTTGACAAGCCATGTTTTTGTGGCCATGGTTATAAAACTTATTTTTTGACCTCATTCTTAAATCTTGGGGATTTTCTTGGGTCATTGTACATTCTGAGATGGTTTCTGACCAATCAAATACATGAGATCTGAGCTCTGAAAATTAAATTTCTTTTTAATCTCAGATCCAAGAATTTAAACGGAGAGACGCATAGAAGACCATATTCTGAAGACTTTGGGTCTTTTCACATTATTTTTTTTTCAGGACCATATTAACTTCACTATAGGACGACAATCACACAACTTGAAACAGTTGGAGAACGCTACTGCAGCCTTTAAACATCTTCTAACAGAGGATAGTAAACAAACAGCCATGCAGCAGAATGCTTTCCTTCGGGAATACCTCTTTGTTTACAGGGTTAGCAACCTTTCTGTTTTCCTGCTTTGTTAACTTGACTGTGCAATGATTTATGTAGCTATTCTACTTATATGTGTTTCTGATGCTCTATATTCAACTTGCTTGGAATTTATTTGTCATGACAAGGTCATAACTTATAAAAAAATACTGAAACTATTTAGTTTAAGTATTAATATTTTAATAGTCTGGACCAACTACACAGTATAAATTTGATCAATCGGCCAGTGCTGTTTGTAGAACTCTATCTGTATATTCCTTATTATTTTAGAAATTTTAAAATATTTAAAATAATGTTCTCTGTCCATGCCCTATTTGATTATCTACAGAATAATGTGGGCTGAAAATTGGCAAAGAATGTTGATTTTTTCTTTAATATATGAGGAACCCTTTAGGTAGCATAGGGAAAGCCCGTGGCTCTTCTTAAGTGCCTTGTAAGGCATAAATTATGCACAGAGGGACATGACCTCTTCCTGGATCAGTAATGTTTGAAATACATCATATGACTGTACAGTAAACAAAAAACAATAGCAAAACAAAGAACCCCAAGGAATTTTTATGCCCCCGCCATGTAATGGCCGGGGCATATAGTGTTACCCTCTTCCGTCATTCCGTCATCATCAGTTTTCGTTCATTATCTTAATAACGGTTGCGCACATTCAACTCAAAATTGACATATGGATATGTCATAAGAAAATATAGGTCAAGTTCAAATTTGGTCATGGTTCAATGATTTTTGGCAGAGTTATGCCCCTTTCACTTTGAAAATAATATGAAATTTTCAGTTTCTGTTCATTATCTCCCCAACAGTACAACACATTCAACTCAAACTTGACATATGGATATTTCATGAGAAAATACAGGTCAAGTTCGAATTTGGTCATGGTTCGATGATTTTTGGCAGAGTTATGCCCCTTTTACTTTGAAAATAATATGAAATTTTCAGTTTCCATTCATTATCTCCCCAACTGTACAACACATTCAAGTCAAACTTGACATATGGATACGTCAAAGGAATGCACAGGTCAAGTTCAAATTTGTTCATGGTTCAATGATTTTTGGCAGAGTTATGCCTCTTTCACTTTGAAAATAATATGAAATTTTCAGTTTCTGTTTATTATCTCCCCAACGGTACAACACATTCAACTCAAATTTGACATATGGATATGTTTTTGAAATGCCCAGGCCAAGTTCGAATTTGGTCATGATTCAATGATTTTTGAAGAGTAATGCCCCTTTCACTTTGAAAATAATATGAAATTTACAGTTTCTGTTCATTATCTACCCAACAGTGTTACATATTCAACTCAAATTTGATATATGGATATGTCAAAGGAATGGGCAGGTCAAGATGGAATTTGGTCATGGTTCGATGATTTTTTGGCAGAGTTATGTCCCTTTCACAATGAAAATAATATAGATACATCTTAGGAATAAGCAGTTTAATTTTGAATTTGGTCGTGGTTCAATGATTTTGGACAAACTTATCTTTCTTGAATGTTGGAAAAATTATGAACTTTCAGTTTCAGCACTCATACTTTTGTGGAAATGTATGTAGCCATTATTTTGGCTACAAATATGAATATGCTATTTTCAAAAGGTTAAGACTGAATAATTTCAGTGCCTTGAACATTGTATGAAAATGATTTGTGTTAACATTGAAAAGTTTTAAGGGCTTTGAACTTAAAATGAAAAAAATAATTTGTGCAAACAAATTTGGAACTAAATATTATAACATCTGAAATTTTGGCTGCATGCAGGGGCATCTGTGGCATGATGACACATTTCTAGTTCTCTTTTATATTGTCATATGGCTTATTTTAACAAAATTTCTTAATTTTATTAAGTTTCAGCGAACAAATTGTATAAAAATTAACATTGTTGAGTTAATGAAAAATGAGCATATGTAAAACCTGTCTAAAAGCAGATGAATCCTAATTAAGAGATTTTCCAAAACTTTTTAATTCTTAAATAAAATCATTCATATGTGATGCCAGATTGTCGCAAAAGTATTTTAATTCTGAAGAAAAAAATTCATGCATGTGTGATACCAGATGATTCAAAAAGTTTTGAATTCTGGAGAGAAAAAAAATCAAACATGTGTGAAGGCAGATGATTTTAATGTCTTTAACTTTGATTGTAAGGAATTTTGTATTGTTGTAGTTCAAGTTGTATCTTTAGATAGATCGCCTCTGTTTAAACCGTTCTTGCATTGTATATATTTGTGTGTTTTAGCAACTACTGGTACAAGAATCGGAGGAAACTGGTCTACAATCAAACACCTTACCAGAATTACCACTACCTGTCCTAGATAGTAATGCTACCAAAGTCATCGTAGGATCTCGCCCATTAATACCACAAGGTAAGTACTTATCTTTGACCCAATATTTCTATGAGGGTTCTCTGTGGATTCCACTGAGGTTTTTTTTTTTGGCAGGACTGGAAATATCTTTCTGAGTTGTGGGTATCATTTGATGTAATTATGAAACAATTACTTGTGTTCAAAATTTCAGATCATTCCTTCATTCCTTGTTTTCCAAAATGATAATTTGATTTTGCAAAATGATCAAAAAATGAAAAGCGTTTCAGTCAAATCAGGTTTTAAGAATTACACTTTCAATTTACAATGTAATTCTGAGTATATTTCTTTATTATTCTTTAAACATTTTTCCATTTTAATGTCTCTGTTTGCTCTATATAAACATTTAAAATTTAAAGATTTTTAAACTCTTCAACCTCAGTTGAGCTCCTTTAAGGTGGCTGACTTAAAGGTGACAAATACTTATGAACCGGAAAATATTGACTGATCTCACATATATTGTAATTGAATTGGAGCTATTCTTTTCTTCTTCGACAGTTTTCATAATACCTATTTTAGAACTTATTTTTAGTCATGCGAAAAGGTGTTTTTCATTGTGATGTCATTTGTAAAAAAACAAAACAATATTGTGATTTGCACACATGCTTATGATCAGTAATCCTTAAGGCCATTGGTTTATACAGAATTTGTTTTATTTCAATTGTGTGGGAAGTTTAAAGCTTGTAGACACAGTCTCAAATCTGTTCCTGGAACCAACTAGTATTGAGCAATTAGTGTAAAGTTTCTTTCTCAAGGCAACAATGGCTTGCCCCTGATGGGGTTTGAACCCATGGGGATAGCACTCCTCATATTACAACCACTTGGCCATACCGTCACACTTTTGGTCATTTTTAGCTCACCTGTCACAAAGTGACAGGGTGAGTTTTTGTGATCGCTTTTCATCCGGCGTCCGTCTGGCGTCCGTCCGTAAACTTTTACTTCAAATGACAACTCCTCATAAACCACTAAGCCAAATTCATCCAAACTTCACAGGAATGTTCCTTTGGTGGTCACCTTTGAAAATTGTTCAAAGAATTTAATTCCATGCAGAAATCCGGTTGCCATGGCAACCGAAATAAAAAAACTTTAAATATCTTCTTTAAAAAAAACCCCAAGAGCTAGAGCTTAGATATTTGGCATGAAACATCTTCTAGTGAGTGTCTACCAAGTTTGTTCAAATAAAAGCCCTGGGGTCTAAATTGGCCCCGCCCTAGGGGGTCATTGATTTTCCCTATATGCATATAGTAAAAACTTAAAAAATCTTCTTTTAAAGAACCCTAAGAGCTAGAGCTTAGATATTTGGCATGAAACATCTTCTTGTGAGTGTCTACCAAGTTTGTTCAAATAAAAGCCCTGGGGTCAAAATTGGCCCCGCCCCAGGGGGTCATTGATTTTCCCTATATGCATATAGTAAAAACTTAAAAAATCTTCTTTTAAAGAACTCAAAGAGCTAGAGCTAAGATATTTAGCATGAAACATGTTCTAATGAGTGTCTACCAAGTTCGAACAAATTAAAGCCCTGGGGTCAAAATTGGCCCTGCCCTGGGGGTCATTGATTTTCCTTATGTGTATAGCAAAAAAATCTTCTTTGAAAAAACCCAAATAGCTAGAGTTAAGATTTTAAGCATGAAACATCTTCTAGTAAGTGTCTACAAAGTTTGTTCAAATAAAAGCTCTGGGGTCAAAATTGGCCCCGCCCCAGGGGTGTCATTGTTTTTAACTATATGTGTATAGTTAAAACTACTTCTTTTAAAAAACCCAATGAGCTAGAGCTTAGATGTTTAGCATGAAACATCTTCTTATGGGTGTCTACCAAGTTTGTTCAAATAAAAGCCCTTGGGTTAAAATTGGCCCTGCCGTGGGGGAGGGGGTGGAAGATCATTGTCTTTCATTATATGTGTGTAGTAAAAACTTCTAATGGGTGTCTTCCAAGTTTGTTCAAATAAAAGCCCTTGGGGCTTAAACTGGCCCCGCTCCGGGGGGGTGGGGGGGGCCTATATACAGGTGAGCGACCTCAGGGCCATCTTGTTGCAAAGAAAGTATCGCTGAATGTGCAGTAATGTGTCATACAGGTAGCAAAATGTAAATAAAGTAGTATTTTGACTTCCATACAAAATACTTATACAAAATAATTATACCTAATGCCAGCAAAGCAATAAAAGCAAAGATAGTATATTTATGTGGCAAATAAGTATTTTTTTGGAAACTGTAACAAGATACCAAAATTTTGTAGTTTTGTGATATAAATGGCAAAATGCAAAATGGCCTTTTGAAACAAAAAAAAAATATAAATAAATTTTTTCATAATTTTTTCTTCCTGTTTTATAGGTGACACGATATATGCTACGGGAGTGTGGTTTGAAGACTCTGACATGCCTAGCTGGAGATGGAAGAAGTTGGAAGAGTTACTGGTATTGGATGCCAATGGGGGTACTCTCCCCTTGTTACATAGACCCTCATTACAGCTCTTCACTGATGGGACTGACAATAAATTCAGCCCAGTTTCATATATGAAAGGTACGTTGTTATCTTTTATTGGATGAAAATGGTGGTGTCTTAAACTAATGTTTTTACTAATTTTTCACTTTTAAGTGGCTCAAGTATTTCTGTTACTTTTTGGTTGAAAATGTATGTAAAGTCATATATTCTGTTCCAGAATTCAGAAAAACTTAAAATATCAATTTCAGCCATTGTCTGACAGTCAAACAGTTGTTCAAAATTGTGAAAAAAGGCCCAAATAGAACAAAAAGCGAAATTTACTTTTCCTTATGCCACAGTTTAGAATTGTTCAATAGGATGAATTTCTATATAGCTGGGGAGTATGTCATGGTTTAGAAAACTGTTCACTATTTTGGGAAGATGTGTAGCGGCTGAATAGCTGAGTCAGTAGAGTTGCGGAACTGTATTTGAGCCACCCGGGTCGAAGTCTTGATCAGGCTGCACTTGACACTTACTTGTGACACTTACATTTTAGAACCAATCACCATTGAGTTGTACTCTGCTCAAAAGTATGTAAAAAAAGCCCAAAATTTATCTTTCCTTATATTTCAGAACCAATTACCATTGAGTTGTACCTAGTGAATCCGCTCAAAGTGGCCTTGACCTTGACTGATGTCACGTTGCTATGGAGTTTTCTGCCAAATATATGCAGTCATGAGAAGCCCCAGTTAATAACCAATGAACAGATGGTCACAGCTAAGGTAAGTGATGTAATGTTTGTTATAGGTGCAAGCCATATGTTTAAGCAAGACTCTAGATTTCGCAAAATATAAAGTAAGGATAGCAATGATTTGAACCACGCAAGAGTCTTTGGATTTTTTCTTGTGGGAAAGCTGTCTAGTTAGCTTACGGAACATCAGTGGTTCTACTCAGGTGCCTGAAATAACACACACAGAGGGACACCTCTACCAGTAAAGCTGGAAAGTCGCCATATGACTTATACTGTGTTTTTTTTAATGCCAATCTTATAAAAAAGCAATGATTTGTGTATAAGCATGTTTTGTTTCAAAGAAAGCAGACAAGAAAAGCTGTCAATTAACCCGTACCAGTCTAATTATTTTAAATGGACTTGTCCATCATTCAGACTGGACATTATCGGGTTTTTTTAAGGAAAATTTTTCAAATATTTACAATGGACAAATCTATTGTTTGCATACAGCATAATTAAATAAGCAGTTTTAATTACAAACTGAAGGTGTTTGTGACAGAGAGGTTAAGGTTGTTGACCTCAAACCACTTTTCTCCTCTCTGCTTTTGGTTTAAAGCCTGCCAAAGACTAACACACTTTCAAATGAGGAAGAAATCCCCTTGTTGAACTTCAGTGGTGAAATAATTCATTGAGGGGTGGGGGGGCACCTTAGGTCTTCTTCCACCAAGAAAGCTTGAAAGTTGTTACCATGTTGGTGTTACTTAAAACAAAAAAGTTTGCTAAAACCGTCCAGCCAATCAAAATAAAACACTTTTATATTTTCAGAATAATTTAGCAGATGAGATTGTACATGGTCAGGTTGTCAAGGAGATAATTCTGCAGGGAAATGATCGGTTACCAGTAAGTTTTATAGTCTATCAGTTCATCGACTAATGTTTTGTTTACCTAGAATTGTAAAAATTATTGGAAAAAAAAATACATATATAATTATAGTTCTATAGATTAGTTAAGTTTGTCGTGTTTGATCCATTTTGGTGCAGTTAAAAACAGCGAATGGCTTTGTGCGATGCTAATATTATAAGAGTTGTCACAGCAGATATTTATTTCATTAAGTACCCAGCATAAATCAAACAAAGTTTAGAAATTAGTTCTTAGATATCTCTAGTTATAACATATTTTTTTTATCTTTCTCCAAGGATTTTGGAGAAAAAAATCTCATTTCCCACTACGTCTTTAAGATTTTCATTAACGGAAATTATCTGTTTGTTCTAGAATATAATGTGAAATTGTATAAACATTTATTATGTTACTACAGGTACAAATGACATTAACTCCGCAGCAAATGGGTGAGCTTAGAATATACGGAATCACATATAATCTAGGTAGCGCTTCAACAACGTTCATGGCTCCTTCCCAAGGTCCATCAGGACCACTAGGGGGTGCTGTGATGGGTTCAAAAGCCAGCTATGTGAGTACAGTATATGTGCGGGGCAAACAAAAGATTGAAGTACAAGGACCAAGGTTAAATACTAAGAAAGAGGAGATGGCGAGTAAAGTGTACGGCCCGGATAGAAGACTGGATCTTACTATACATGAGCAGATGCCATTACTTGAGGTAATGAGGACTTTTTTATTCTCCCTGAAATTTTTGATTTAGCAAATCATTGCCTGTTTAACCTTTGTTGTTTGTCTGTCGCTTACTGTTCCTGTTAGACTGACATTTAATATACATGTATTTGACGTTTTGGTATTATCAATTGACCTTTTCATTCAGGTAAGGTTTCAGATTTGTTGGATCAAGTTCAATGTAATTCTTGTTTATCAAAAGTTTAATTCTAACCCTAAGCCTACTAGTGGCAGCTGATTTCTAACCATGCAACCAGTGCAGTCCAAGATTAGCTGGAACATCTGCTGTTTCATCCTGGTCTAGACTCTGAACTATTCAGACAGAACATATTTTGGAACAAACTAAAAAATGACGAATGTTTATTCTAGATTGAAAGATAGACAAATCATTTAAGATTTTTTTGCATGGCAAGTGTGACTGATACCTTTAAACTTTTTTTTACGATATTTGAATTGGCTGGATTTAAATGATTGTTTTAAAGAAAATTTTCTCAGGTATTTATAATGCATGTTTAGTTAGTTTCTTCTTTGAAGCTGCTGGTCACTAAGCTGTATGAAACAATATTCAATAAAACTGCCGTTTAAGTTATATTTTCTTTCCTTACAGGTGAGCTTTGTGGATTTTCCAAAGACATTATTATGTGGTGAAGTTCACCCAGTGACTGTGCATTTTACAAATACGGGTTCGAGCCCACTACACAAACTTAAAGTTGCCTCGAGCAACCCGAAATGCTTTGTTATAGGTCAGAATATAAGTAACGAACATTCCAGTAGTGTGTATAACGTAACAGATAAAAGCTCAGACTCTATTAGTGTTAACTGTGATTTAAAAGTGAAACGTGTGATTGATATAGAAATTCCTGGCGGGATTTTACATTCCAAGTCGACGATGGGTATTCAGTTGTGGATACGAGGTAACGATATAGGCGGGAATCACCAGGTGGATTTCTTGTTCTACTATGAGCTGGCTGAAAATCCGCAGAAAAGAAAGTGAGTTTTTAAATGTCATTTATTAGCCCTGGTTCAATTCTATGGCAAGGCAAAATTTATTTCATCTCAAGCATTAAACAGTCAAATGTCTTGTCAGTGCTGATTCAGAAGTCATGTGGGATACATAGTTAGTCTTTCACTTGTTAAGCTTTTTGCAATTATTGGTAAGTTATCATGGAATGTTGTTTGGTGGAATACATAGAGGATATTGAATGAGTGTAAGTTCAATACTGAATTTATTGCACAAGTTGAATAAAATTATATTATGCGAGCCTCTTGCAAACATAATATTATTATATTCAATGAGTTCAATGAATTTAGTAATTAACTTACACGAATTTAATATTCTATTTATCACATACCCAAAATAAAGACCGTTTAAAATGAATTAAGAGTTATTTTCCGTTGACGCGCCTATAGTAGAACGCTAACATTTAGCGCGTCTTTACACTATGTTTGCATAACGCTAATGACGTCATGTCAAAATATATGCACGACCGTGCAATACCATATTTAGTGAGTCGCAAAATTGGCACGGGTGTGTGATAAAGCCAGAAATGTGTTAAATTTGGCATTATGAAAACAGACAGACAAAGCAAAATTACAATATGATATAGTTTCAGATGATGTGGTAGTTTTTAAGCATATTTATTTAAGCTTCATAGTGAATGTGAGACATGCTGCTGCAATGTATATAAATCTCTTTCGAGTCCACTATTTGGTTCTATCCTATATTGGTGTCATATTAGGACCAAAGTAGGGCTGGAACCAACCTACATTGTATATTAATCACTTTTGAGTCAGCTTTCTGAGACTAATCACTAAGCCAATGTGACCCTGACATGACACTGTACATTAAATATGAGTAAGTTTTATTATGCTATTTTGAAAAACCATCGTATCTCTAGGCTTTAAAAGATTTAATTTAATTTTAAGTCAATTGAAATAAAGAAGAATCTGTCAGAATCTGAACATTGTGGTGGTTTTCTCAATTTTTGTTGTCACTTTTATTGCCAGAAGAATTTTTGGCATATATTATTATACACCTGGTCGTTTGTCCCTCGGTAACTGTCATCAGTCTTTAATATTACATTCAGTAATATCATGATTGACTTGTATGTATTCCAGGTATAGGATATTACGACACAATGTTCTAGTCAATACAGCCGAGTCTTTGAGTGTTCGTGCAGTTGCTCAGAAAGCGTGTAAAAATTCTAAAGAGCTTACCAGTACTGGTCAATTTCTTATATCCTGTGAGATGGAAAATCTTAGTCAAGTAAGTAGTCAGATTGTAATGTAAAAAATTGTAATGTGATTATACGTTCTGATGGACAAAACTTTTTTTTTGGAGAAAGCATGATTTTGTGTTGATAAGTATTCAAAGAATAGGAGAGCTATTGTACACATTTCAGTGTCAGACTTAAGTTACGTTTTTGCATGCAAGTTGGTATCTCAAAAACTACTGAAGGAAATGGATTGAAACTCCTGACACGTATTTGGGATTATAAAAGGAGGTCACTTTCCAAGACCCATAACTCTTAACAGAGTTATGGCCTTTTTTGAACTTTTGTACATTATCTAAAAAAATATAAATTGTTAACAATGTGCACAATTGTATTAAAGTTAAGTTCTGTATTGTTGTAAACTTGTATAGAAATGTAGAAAGTATTTTCTTGTTTAAATATTTTTCAGTATCATCAGCTTTTTAAATATGAGTTGTAAACCATTGCCATGCATGCTTTTGGTAATGTAAACTTCATAAGTTACTAAGAGGCACCATCAAAATATTAATAAGTCCCAACAACAGTAGAAAAAACTTATAGTTAGAAAATTTACAGAATAGAGTATGGTTGCATTGAATGATATGTATGATATAATATCATGATTTTGTAGCAACAGTTGGGCAGGGTGTATGTGAGTGAGATTAGGATAAAACAGATCTCCTGTGCTAGTTCAAGGTGGACCATAGATACTTTAACATCACATTCTCAGAAAGGTAAGTGTAGTGGTGAAGAATAGACTAAGAATTTTACCTGGGTTTAATGAATGTAGAATACATGTTGTCTTTAAAAGATTAAATAGATTTCAAGATTATATTTTAACCGTTTATATGCTAAATTTATTGAATGGATGGGGATCTGTGGCCAAGTGGTTAAGGTTGTTGACTTCAAACCACTTGCTCTCACAGTTGTGGATTTGAATTTCCAGGGACTTGGGATTCTTTCATGTGAGGTAGCTATCCAGCTAGCTTACCAAATGTCAGTGGTTCTACTCGGGTGCACATTTGTACCTGAAATAATTCACCAGTAAAGCTGATCATGGTCAGCACTGGTGGCATAGGTAAAATATGTTGCCCCCTTGCAGGTTATGGGTTAATCAGTGTCAGTGTAGCCTAGAAAATGAACACACATTTTGAAATGTTAATGATTTTAACCACATGACTCTACTGAGGTCCAAAGGCCTATAAACAGAAAATTTGAAAAATCTTAGAAATATTAAGTGAAGCTTTCTGCAAAGGAGGAGAAAGAAATGTACTCAAAATGAAATTAAAAAATAATAGTTTGTCCCATTTCTTAGCCAGATTTCATTGAAAAGCTTTTCAGTTTGGGGTCATTTTGCACAGTAAAGAAAAATGAGGTGAGGGTATGTCCTAAAAAATTTCAAATTAGTACAGACCGACATCACTTGATGCACAAATTTCGGAAAAATATTTCCAGTCCTGTCATGTCAAAAGAACCTTTAATATGTTTATGACAAAAATTTATGTATGTATTTACAGAGGTGTGTATAGGAAGTCGAGAGATGTTACAAGTATGTTTAAAGGCCAGTATGTTACAGAAGGAGAAGGTTTCAAACTGTGATGTCACTTTTACTGATCTAACACTCCATGATGGAAAGGTAAGTGTGCTGACTTTTTACTAGCTGAATATGTTGAGAGGCAAGGGATGGTTTTGTGCTTTAAAGAACTTATAGTCAATGGAAATTATTGAGTTTTAAGCATAGGTGTCTGTTATTACAAGTTGAACGATAAGTGTTCAGTAATTGCGGTATATGGGGTGGTTCAAGTACAGAAATCTGGAACACTATTTCTTACTAAACTAGATAGCCAAAAAAAATGGACAAAATTATTACTAGGGAAAAATGGACAATATTGTTAATAGGGAAAAAATGGACAAAATTGTTAATAGGAAAAAAATTTGACAAAATTCATGTTCAGTCATTTCAACTTAACCCTGCTTAACTGTAAAGGGAGAGCATTGGGTTTGTTATATAATACGATATGACAAAAAGATATTATTAAAATCTGTGTTTAAACCAGTTAAAACAAACAAACAAATTATATTACAGATACTCAGCGGGAGGACTCCATGTTTAGATTTTTACCAGAGATCAAGGGTCAAGTTAAAGCCATTAGAAGACGAGGCCTCACAGACCCAAACACCATCGCAGATTCTAGCACCTAAAGAGAAGGTCGATCAATTTGAATCACTCAATAGTGCAATACAACTAGGAATGTCTCTTATCATATTATGGCAGGTAAAACACAGTGCATATTTTGGTTAAGAATATTATGAACGTCTATATATATCTAGATAAGAAGTGTTACATTGGTTGTATCAGGGACATAGAATAAGAGGACTAGCAATTTCTAACTAGATAAGCAGTCTGTTGTTGGCGTATAATTGACAGCCTATCGATCGATAAGATATTTGAGGGGTGTAAGACAGAGTTTTTAGCACTGGTGTAAACGGTAGATAATCCTGTCTGAGATGCAAGAATATTGAATTTTTGATATGATATTTGTGGAGATTTAGTGTGGTGATATTTATATTTATAGAGATTAAATGTGGTGGTATTTGTTGTAGGCACATGTTGTAGATAGTGACGGTACAGAGAGAGTTTGTGTAGGACAACATCATGTGACCGTGGAAAAACCTGACAGTATATTCACTTCTTATCCATATATGCAGGTTAGTGTAACTATTCAGTTATATGTATTATGTAGAAAAAAGAGTTAACACTCCTTGTATGACCTTTGATGGTATTCAGGCATGCATATTAAATTTGATCAAGGTCCATCTGCCCTTTTAGGCACAGAATGGTGTAAAAATTACATAAAGTATGCACCTGTACTTCTCACAAGTTGTGCCTCTAAAGGGTAAATTTTGAAGTTGTACAAATTGACTTCTGATTAATTGTCAAAGTATCACTCAGAAAAATGAAATTTGAAGTGGAAAAAGGCAACCACTACCCTGTGGCCCAATGAGAGCCTGTTTGTGTGTAATTTAACCATAGGCTGCCATTGTATTACAAATAACCTTTGATAGACAAGGGTTTTGAGTCTGTAAAATATTCAGAATTAATAAATAAGATATATTTTTTATTTATTATGCATACACTGTGGCAGTCTTTATCAGTTCTCAAATAAGGGGAAGTAACTCTAGTTTCAGATTATAATTTACTGTTATTGCTTACCTCCTTTGTTGTATGAATGCTATTTTAGTGACAATATGTAGAATTTTAAAGTACATAAGAAATATATCATAATGAAAAAAGGCTAGTTTACATTCTGCATAAACCTATTTGTAAAGTTCTTGTCACTCATGTTGTACCATTATGTAAATTTTTTATGCCCCCACAATGTGGGAGCATATAGCGTTGCACTTGTCCGTCCGTCCGTCAGTCCGTCCGTCCCGAAATCTTGTGAACGCAACTCCTCTTAAACCGGATGTCAGATTTTGCTTAAACTTACAGGGATGAACAACCTTAATGTGTAGATGGTAGTAAAGGAAGGAATTTTTGCTGCGACGAAATTTAAAAGAATTATGGCCCTTTGTTGATTTTTTCACTATATACTATGTAGAAATTTTGTGAATGCAACTCCTCTTAAACCGGATGGCAGATTTTGCTTAAACTTCCAGGGATGAATAACCTTAATGTGTTGATGGCAGTAAAGGAAGGAATTTTTGCTGCAACCAAATTTATCAGAATTATGGCCCTTTGTTGATTTTTTCATTAATTACTATGTAGAAATTTTGTGAATGCAACTCCTCTTAAACCGGATGGCAGATTTTGCTTAAACTTCCAGGGATTAACAACCTCAATGTGTAGATGGTAGTAAAGGAAGGAATTTTTGCTGTGAACAAATTTAACAGAATTATGGCTCTTTGTTGATTTTTAGCTCGACTTTTCTATGAAAAGGGGAGCTATCCTACTCGCCCCGGCGTCGGCGTTAGCGTTGGCGTCACACCTTGGTTAAGTTTTTCGTACCACCCCACTTTATTTCAGAAGTATTACAAGTATGGCTTTGAAACTTACCATACTTGTTCACCATCATAACCTCCATCTACAGACAAGAGTACATAACTCTGTCAAGGTTTTTGACAGAATTATGGCCCTTTTTTTACTTAGAAAGTGTATTGAGCTTGGTTAAGTTTTTTGTACCACCTCACTTTATTTCAAAACCATTGGAGGTATTGCTTTGAAACTGACCATACTTGTTTACCATCACGACCTTCATCAACAGACAAGAGGACATAACTCTGTCAAGGTTTTTGACAGAATTATGCCCCTTTTTGACTTAGAAAATACATTGAATATGGGTAAAATCCACTTATTGCCTTAACCCTTTGAGATATTGCTTTGAAACTTTTAATGCTATTTCACATCATTACCCCCATCTGTACGCAAGAGAAGGTAACTCTGTCAAGGATTTGTTTTAAAAATTAAGGCCTTTTATCGACTTAGAATCTTGGTTAAGTTTTTAGTACCAGTCCACTTTTTGACTGAACTGTTTGAGATATTAATTTGAAAGTTGGAATACTTGTTTACCATCATGGTCCCAAAACATGGGCAGGAGAAGGTAATTCTGTTAAGGATTTTATTTGAATTATGGCCCTTTTTGACTTAGAAACTCAGTTAAGATTTTCATTCTTGTCCACTTGTTGACTTAACCATTTGAGATATTACTTTGGAAGTTGGAGTTCTTATGTGCCATCATGAGACCTATCTGTAAGCAAGAGAAGATAACTCTGTGAAAATGTTTCTTGATTTGTACTTAGAAATTCCTAGTTAAAGTCTTGTGTGCCCTTAACTGTCAAAGTTTTGTTTTATAGGCAAGCACTAAAAAAGTCGAGCGCGCTGTCCTTCTGACAGCTCTTGTTAGTTTCAACTTGTGGCACATGTAGTCCAAAAAATATTTGACCTAGAGTCATAAGATTGACAGAACAGTGGCGTGTGGGGGCATCAGTGTCCTATGGACACATTTCTAGTTTAGATATAAAATGTGTTTTCATTAAGCCCTTGGCTGCTGAGGAATCTCCAAGGCTGAGTTATTAAAGTAATTGAATTCCTTTCATAAATACAAGTGTACCATACCTCTCTGAAGAAATTTGACAAAAATTATAAAACAGTGTGACAAATAGCTGAAGACACAACCTGAGACAGTCACACATGTGATATTAAAAGTCACTATGATAAGAAAAAAAGTTTTATTATTTTATTTAATTTTTTTTTGTAAATTACCTTCAGCCACCTAGAGAAAGCGGTCCAATCCAGTTTATAAAAGAAGAAGTGACAGAGGAGGAGAAGAAACCAGATTTTGAAGTTTTAACACAACTTGTGTCATATAGTTTACAACACAAGACTGAACTAGACAATTGCTTCTCCAAATGCAGGTAATTTATATTAGTCATGACCTTTTTCCTGGTTAAACCCATGACCTGAAGGTGATTAGCCTTTGCCACCAGTATAGAGCCAGGTCAGCCTGCACATCCGTGCAGTCTAACCAGGCTCTTTACTGTTGGTAGCTGAGTTTTTTTTTTGAAGGATTGATATTGAAATCTCTTAAACTTAAAAGGGACTGTTCGAAATTCGAAGGGCAAATCTATTATAAAAATTTAGCTGGTCAAGTAAGTTTTATTATAACCCCCAAAGAGCTAGACATAAGTATTGATTTTGGCTGGAAAGTTGCCTTATGACCAATATAGGGTCAGGGCAACTTAAAGCCATTAAAAAAAGAGTATTTTTTGGATGATTATGAAAAGTAAGGATATTATCTGATTCAAAAGTAACCATTGCTTCTTTAACGTACATATTCAAAGCAAAAATACACTGGACCTTGGTTTGAAATCTCATTTGAAAGACTTTTAGTATTTTTTTATGGAAATCTTATTTTTAGCTCACCTGAGCAATGCTCAGGGTGAGCTATTGTGATCGCCCTGTGTCCGTCGTCCGTCGTCGTGCGTCCTGCGTCGTGCGTCGTGCGTCGTCAACTTTTCACATAAACAACATCTCCTCTGAAACCAATGACTGCACATCAACCAAACTTTGCAGAAATGATCCTTGGGTGGTCCCCTTTCAAAGTTGTTCAAATGGTTCCGGTCTGTTGCATATGTAGGTCACAGGGCCAGAAAAGGATTTCAAAAAACACAAAATTAAAAAATCTTCTTGTCTGAAAGTACATGGGCCAGAGCTTTGATTTTTGGTATATGGTATCATCTATGGGTCCTCTACCAAAGTTGTTCAAATTTTGTCCCTAGTGTCAAAATTGGCCCCGCCCGGGGGGTCATAGGTTTTTCCTTATATGTCTATAGGTAAATCTAAAAAAAATCTTCTTCTCTGATTTGGCAAAGGCTACAGATTAGATATTTGGCATGAAACATTGTGTAGTAGACCTCTATCAAGATTGTTCAAATAATGGCCCTAGGGTCAAAATTGGCCCCGCCCTGGGGGGTCATTGATTTTCATTACATACATATAGTGAAAACTTGAAAAAATCTTCTGGTCTGAAAGTAAATGGCCTAGAGCTTTGATTTTTGGTATATGGTATCATCTATGGGTCCTCTACCAAAGTTGTTCAAATTTTGTCCCTAGTGTCAAAATTGGCTCCGCCCCAGGGGTCATAGGTTTTTCCTTATATGTATATAGTAAAATCTAAAAAATCTTCTTCTCTGATTTGGCAAAGGCTACAGATTAGATATTTGGCATGAAACATTGTGTAGAAGACCTCTATCAAGATTGTTGAAATAATGGCCCTAGGGTCAAAATTGGTCCCGCCCCGGGGGTTCATTGATTTTTATTACATACATATAGTGAAAACTTGAAAAATCTTCTGGTCTGAAAGTAAATGGCCTAGAGCTTTGATATTTGGTCTATGGTATCATCTGAAGGTCCAATACCAAAGTTGTACAAATTTTGTCCCTAGTGTCAAAATTGGCCCCACCCCGGGGGGTCATAGGTTTCTAAATATGTATATAGTAAAACATAAAAAATCTTCTTCTCTGAATTGGCAAAGGCTACAGGTAAGATATTTGGCATGAAACATTGTGTGGTAGACCTTTACCAAAATTGTTCAAATAATGGCCCTCGGGTCAAAATTGGCCCCGCCTCGGGGGTCATTGATTTTCATTATATACATATAGTGAAAACTTGAAAAATCTTATGGTCTGAAAGTAAATGGCCTAGAGCTTTGATATTTGGTCTATGGTATCATCTATAGATCCAAAACCAAAGTTGTTCAAATTTTGTTCCTAGAATTAAAATCGGCCCCGCCCTGGGGGTCATTGATTTTCCTTATATGTATATAGTAAAAACTTAAAAAATCTTCTTTTAAAAAACCCAAAGAGCTAGATCTTAGATATTAAGCATGAAACATCTTCTAATTGGTGTCTACCAAGTCTGTTCAAATAAAAGTCCTGGGATAAAAATTGGCCCCACCCCAGCGGGTCATTGATTTTCCCTATATGCATATAGTAAAACTAAAAAAATTTTCTTTGAAAGAACCCAAAGAGCTAGAGCTAAGATATTTAGCATGAAACATGTTCTAATGGATGTCTACCATGTTCGTTCAAATAAGAGCCCTGGGGTCAAAATTGGCCCCGCCCCGGGGGTCATTCATTAGCTCGACTTTTTTTTTAGATATATACATATTATATATATACATACATATATATATATATATATACATATTATATATATATATATATACATATTATATATATATATATATATATTATATATATATATATCTTATATATATATATGTATGTATAATTATATATGTAAGGAACCAATATTGTGTATGTATATATATTATATATATATATATATATATATATATATATATATATTATATATATATATAAATATGTATATATATATATATATATATATATTTATATTTATATATAATATGTATACATATATATTTATATATATATATATATATATATAGACATAAAAAATCTTCTTTTAGAAAACCCAATAAGCTAGACCTTAGATATTTAGCATGAAACATCTTCTAATGGGTGTCAACCAAGTTTGTTCAAATAAAAGCCCTGGGGTTTAAACTGGCCCCGCTCCGGGGGGCCTATATACAGGTGAGCGACTTTGGGCCATCATGGCCCTCTTGTTAAACTCTCCATCCCAGTATTTCTTGTAAGACAGTGTTAACAAATCAGTTAGCCTGCTCGTTGAAATTTTAACTTGATACGACCCTTAGTTCTTCCTAATGATTCATAAATGAGGGTGATTGTTGATTCACGTAAACTTCATCATAATGATAAATAGGAAGCCTAGTTGTTCATGTAATCAACATGTTTTCCTATAATGATTTTAAGAGGATTCATTACAAAGGTCAAGTCTGTTATGTTAAATCAATGGGATTGGGTATGAATCACATGTAATGTGAAGCATTGAAAGTTTGAGAAGATGCAACATGTCCATTCTTTGTTATAGTAATATAGAATGTACATGCATTAAATCAGAAAAAAGACCAACAACTGAATAATGCAGAGAGAAACAGAAAGGTGATTTAAAAAAAAGAGAAGATATTCTAGCTCTTGGTATTTTAGGTTGATTATTTCGAAAAATAGAGGGAGCTGTCATCAGCATCACACTTAATTTACATGGTAAAGTTTTTGTGTGCAAGTTAATATCTCCAAAACTACTGAAGGGAATAGATTGAGTCTTCAAACACTTATTTTAGAGCATAATAGGAGGTCACCGTCCAATGTCTATACCTATAACATGGATTTTGACAGAATTATGGCCCTTTTTTAACTTAGAAAATTCTACATAACATTTATCTGGATTTTTATTTTACTACCAAGAACTGAGAATTAGTCAAGCAAGCTGTCTTACTGACAGCTCTGGTTGAGACCTTTGTGATATTGAATATTTAGATTAATTTTCTATGTTATTAATTGTTTCTTGCTGTTTACAGATTATGTTGTGCACAGGTAACCTTGGTGTTACATAATGAAGCAGACTCTGATGTTACTGTATTAGTGGACACAAGTAAAGCTCAGCATAGGTATACAACAAAATTTTCTTTTCTTAATATTATATTTCATTAATATGTTCTGCTCAAAAGGAAGCTTGAAATTTACAGTTTAGATTTGTTTCCTTAAATGTTTTATTCACTATTATGTTATGGAGTACACTTGACATTGTCAGTTGTAGATAGGTTTTAGATGTATCATTTCAACTGTCATTCATTGGTAGAAATTCCCAATGATGAACCACATGTGGTCCTGTGGGTGAAGGGTTCAAGGTTATAAAAAGATTGGCAGTCGCCTGGAATAGACCCTATGTGTATTACTGTGTATATTTTATATATAAATATACAACAAATATGGAATGAGCCTAATACATTTACAGTTGACTCTAAATAAGTCAAAATCGCTTTACTCAAAATTCTGTGTTAGTCGAAGAATGTCTAAAGTCCCGTCAAATTTCCTTCTTTATCTTTGTATTTTAACTCCGCTTAGGTCAAATTTTGACTTACCGAGACTCCTGTTTAGTCGAAAAGAAAATTTGGTCCCGTCAATTAAAGTCCTACATATTTTCATCTCAATTAGTCGAAGTGTGAAAACAGCCGACTGATCAAAGATCGGCAACATCAAGGTGAGATGTTGCCACTCGTGATTCACACGTTTCATGGTAATTTTAATTGTTGGTCATCATGTATTTATTGTTATGATTTGTCATGAGAGCTTATTAAAAACATGTGCTTTACTGATGAATCAGGTACATGTATATACATGTACGAATGTCAACGTAATGGCGCAGATCCACGTTACTCGAATTCCGTTTTTCTCGAAGTAAAATGCCCAGTCCCTTGGATTTCGAGTTAGCGAGAGTCAACTGTATATATACTCTTGGTTTAGACCCGGGGTCTTATTTAGGCTATAGCCAAAGATTTCTCGGCTCTTGATCTGAGGTGCTCACTTGGTGAGAAATTGGTACAGAAAGTACATCGAACCAATGAAAATACTGTGGTTTGAGACAGAATTGACAAAAAAGTTTTATTACTGAGGCCTGGACCCATTTTGAAGGTGTACTTTAACTCACTTGTGTTATTTCACAAGAAGATGAAACTGTAAATGGATAGGAAAAAAAAAAAACAATCTTCAAAGTTTAATCAAATGCTTTATCATATGTTCTGTTTCTGCCCTGTATTATGCATAATGAAAACAATTGCATTTGGAAACTTTCAGATTAAATGAATATCCAGATACAGGGCAGACAGCGGAGAGTCCTGCTGGGGGTTTCTCCTGGATGAGTCAAACGCTGAAGCAATTGAAGTTGCTCGCCAAACAGACGGAGAAAATATTGTTGTCGGTGACGTTCAGTAAACCGGGCGTGTACAATATCAACAACATTGCCGTGTTCGTGTCATACCAAGACGACTCGGCTGAAATGACTCTACAAAAACAAACAAAACCGAGTGTGATCACCATTCGTGATGTAGCTTCATGATTTTGTTTTTTGTAGTTTAGAAAAAAAAAATCTAAAACATTTTGCCTTTTCTGCTTTAAAGCAGGTAAAGTATTAACATAAATGTGCTACATTTTAGTATTTGATCATTATTTCATTTCTATATGTCAGTCAATGCTTGAGTAAAAAAATATGTGTTTAAAAATAGCTCAGTTTGTTGCCATAGCATAAAATTTCCGGTTTATTGAAATTGATTAACAGTTACACAAGTATTTCATTAGCATAACAAAGTTTCTTACTTGCTGTCTATAAGATTTATACAGATTTTATTTTAACTTAACAAATCATTTAATGATCAAGATAAAGGTTTGATGACCGAAAAACATTGTTGACCGGAAATTTCATTTTTAGATCTTACCATGAGTCTGATTGGACAAGTTATAGATCTTTTAAAATAGACCAAAATGTACCGAGAGGTTTCATTTTACAAATCATGACAAAGTTAGGACATATAAGCTTTTAATTTTGTACTGTCTCTGATATTTCAAGGCTGAGATTAAATACTAATTGTAATCAAGAATTTAAAATCTGACTGCTGCTTAAAATTGCATTAATTTCCTAACAAACTTGCTTTTATAATATGCAGAAGTGTTAATATTTATTAACAAATTATCAAGTTTATGTCAATTTTTGATACTCATACTATATTGTGTATTTGTAATCATGAAGTTACAGTTATGAAATTGTTACAACAAATATGATTATTTTTGCACTTTTAGAAAAAAAAGAAATTCTGTAATTACTCACATATTAGACATGTTTTTCCCCTTAATTTAGAGAGTTATTCTGTATGCCTTGTCTTATAAGTGGATAAGGAAAGTCTATGGTATAAATATGGACTTTTAAAAAAAGATGTTTAACGATTTTTAATGGAAAATTTATATCATTTCTTATAAACAACTAATATTTTGGTTAAGTGAATATTAAAGCGTTATTAAAGCGGGGAAAAAAGGTTTCAGTGTAAATTTAATACCCAGTTTTATACGTAAAGAAATAGTCTTATGGCTGAATAAGGCACTTTTATATGTAAATTTTAAAGGAACTCCACTGAGGTTCAAAAGCCTAAAATATAAAATTTGAATTTCTGACACAGATCAATGGGGACACTTAAAACACAAAAATGGGCAACAGGTAATTAATAAATGTATTAAAATTTTTTTGAAAAATCATATTTTTGGGCTTTTTTGGTCCGACTTGTGTAAAACTTTTTCAATTTTTGGTCATTTTTCACAATTAGAAAAATTCTTTTGGAGTGAATGATCTAAAATTTTGCACACACGTTACTCGTATAGACCTTCATGAAATGGAACATCAATCTAAAAAAAAAATATTTCTAGTTCTGTCATGTCAAAAAAATAATCAGTGGAGTCCCTTTAATTAAATGTCTTGTAGATATGGTAAAATTTTAATAATTCTACAGTATCAATGATTCAGGGTGTTTCCATTCTTTCCTGAAATAATGCATGGAGAAAGCGTTTGTAGGTTTTTAACTACCACTGAGTTATTTTGAACAATGAATTCAGGTGGTAAGAGATGTTTTCTTAGCTTAAAAGGAATAACTGAATGAGATACATGATTATTTATCATTAAAGCTGCATGCCTCTAGATGAGCCAAAGTATTTCAAGAAAATCAAACTTGAGAAAAAAGTACAAAGATTTGAAGCAAAGTAAAGAAGATTTAAATTCAAGTAATAATTAATAGGTAATGTGCAATTAATGACTGGTTTTTTTAAGTATTTATCACCTCATTTCTACTGCGCTACTAACTAACAAACTATAACACAGTAAGGGCTGCTTTTGCATATTTTGACCTCTTTTTAATATTTTACATGGATTGTAAGTGTCCTTTACAAATTACAAAGTATGAATAACTTTCTTTGTTTACTTCAAAATATTTAACCTTTAAATACATTTTCAAAATTTTCATGAAAATTGGCATGAATCTGGAGACAATCTGCTTTCATATTTTAAATTGGTGCAGAGGATGGAATGATATGTTAGGTAGAAATCCTTTTGAGAAATAATGTCCTGAAAAATGGGAAAAATAAAGTAATGAATACACTAAATGATTAATTGCAAATAAAAGCAAAAAAGTGCTTAATTAATAAATTGCAAATATGTTCAACAATTTGTATATGGTTTGCAACAATGTGCAAATAAATTGCAAATATTTGCAACAAATTTGTAAATGGATTGCAACAAACTGTAAAAGAATGCAACAAATTTACAAGTTTATATTTAAAGTTTGATTAGAAAATCATGTCATGTTTTCGAAGCATATATAGGTATAGATTACGTTTTTATTACTGTACTATGTTACTTGATCATGTGCAATATTTTGTTATATATACATGTATATATATACATGTGTTGTTGTGTGCTTACCTGGATGTAATCGATTTCTCTTTTCATCAAGAAGTTTTATAAAAAATCTTGTAAGAAAATTGATTTTATACAATGTATATACAAGACAAAACAAAGCAATCTGTTACATTTTAGGAACATTTTAAAGACCTAGAGATCATTGATTGACAGGCACTTGAATGCAGCCACAAAAGTGTGCAAAAGTTCAACAACATTCCTGTTTAAGCACAATTTCCAGCAATGTAATTTAGGAATACTGCAAAATCTTTTCCTTTTTTGTGATTAAGGGGTTTTCATATACAATTTGATGTCAAATTGGAAGTAAATGCATAGGTTTTTAGAGACTATTTGTTTTTTAAAAGGCCAATTTCTTTTCTTTTATTTATTGTACATCTATTTTGAAAAAATAATATAAACCACTATTGAGCCTACTTTTTAAAATGACATTATGCTCATTTTTTCGTTGATTAGGTATATATTTGTAAAGATTGACTATTTTAATGGTGATTAGCCAAGAATTGATCATAAGAAAAGTTTTGGAGAAAAATGAATAAGAAAAGTTTTGGAGAAAATGTAAAAACTGTCTAAATATAGAAAGACTGCCCCCACATAACCGATACTTTCTGAAGGATATGTATAGAAATTTCCATGTGCCACATGGGTTACTGAATATTCATTAAAATATGAAATTCAAAACAAATATGGCAAACTGTAAACTTATTTTGACTTTTACCTGTACTCTTCTCAACATTCACAAATGGGTTGGCATAATGTCACTTTAAACTATACAACACTTGTAACATATGATAATAAATCATGGTTGTGATTTCAATAGGGCTCAAACTTAGGACCTTTAGGCTGAGAGGCAGATACCTCAAACTCTAGGCCATTTATTCCTATCTTTTACAGCATAAAGTCGTATATTTTGATGTTTTAATTGATAAAATGTAAAATCATGTTTGCAAGATTTCTTACGATTTTCACCCAGATGTTTCCACGATTTGTTGCAGGGCTTCTTTTTTTAAACTTTCTAATCGAGTATATCGTCAAGAAGTAGAAACAACGCTTTTGTTTTGTCTTAAGATCAATTCTTTAATGATTTTCATACACTGGTGGAAAGAGAAATGAAATCCGTTAAGCGAAAGATATTGTTTGTGTTAGAACACGTGTTACCATAATTGAGGCATTGAAAACTGCCATAGGTTTTTTGTCAGTCTTTTGTATAGTTGATGTAACATTTTGACTGTAAATTATGTATACATGTTGATGGCTAAGCTATATAGATGTGTGTTTTTTTATGAAGATGTTGTTTTTTTTCTCCAGAACTTAGTCTGTCTTCAGAAGTGTTTCGATTCGAAATTTATACGTTTCTCTCGAAACTTTGACAAATTTTCATCTATGTGTTATGCATATTATATGTATATGAATGTGAAATAATTTAACATATTAACTTGTTGCTTCGATGGTTAATGTTTGTTTTTACAAAAAATATTATTATTATTTGAAATTTAACTCTTGCGAATTATTTAATTCAGATTCATAAAATTGTTGTGTAATTATCATAATAGAATAAAAAATAGCAAAAACAATATTGTGTTCTCTGTTTCTATGTTGTTGTTGTTTTGTTTTGTACTAGGAAACGCATTGTATATCTGTTAACAAATGCTGTGCGCAATGTGGAAGAGAATTTTTTAGTGGCCCGTGTTGAACGTCTTGAGCAAGGAAGCTATCCAGTTAGCTTACGAAACGTCGGTGGTTCTACTCGGGTGCCCGTTTGTGCCTGAAATAATGCACAGAAAGGCACCTGATATCTTTCTCCACCAGTTATTATAAAAGTGGAAAGTCGCTATATGACCTATACTTTGTTGATGCGACGTAAAACCCAACCAAAAGAAGAAAAAAACGTCTTAAACAAATTCTCTTTGACGTTTACGTTGTTAAACGTTAGAAGGAACATAACTTTGTGAAACATTTAACCTCTTAGCCTGCTGAAACCGAAAGTGATAAATTATTAGCCACCAGTGTAGAGCGAAGGCTGCCTGGGCATACGTCGTGTCTGACCAGGCTCTATACAGTTGGTTATTGGTTCGGCCGTGGGTATCCGACGATGAATCTTGTATAATTTGATTTTTTAAATGGATTGTACTACGTTCAAATTTAAACCAGCAGATTAAGGGTTAACCAAACAGTCTGTATCCGTATCATTTTGACGGGACAATAACCTTTACGGTTTATTCGATTTAAAACCAGTCTACTTTGTATACGGGCTGTCACCTTTTGAAAGACCGTCTTAATGCATTTTTTTTTCAAGTGTCGTGAGACATTGGAAAAGGAACGTACGAGGCAAAAAGATCAGATATTTTAACAGATTAAACTTGATTATGTTGAAAAAATATTTTGTAACTATATAAACATTCAGCACAATTTAAAGTGGTAAGACATACAGATTGCATCATTTCCCAAGATTACACGTATTCAAATCTATATTATGAGTTTTCGATTAACAGATGTTGTATTTCCTTAATGATAAAATCGTTTTATTTTCAAGGAAGAGAAAGTTATCAAAAGGTAAATCAACACGAGGTTCGGCTTCAAGCAATGGTATTGTCTCTAAGCTGTTACCCGTGTCACGTGTTATCTTATTGTTCTTAATTGATTTTAATGCGAGTTATTTTTAGATTAGCTGTGTCACGCGCCGTTGACAGTTTTCCGTCAACTTTTTTAAGTTTTAAGTGAATTTATTGAATTCCTGTAATGTTCGGTGTATATAGAATTTATTTTAGTTCGACTGTGTTTGTAGTTATAAGCTTATAGACACACACTGTCGAATCCGTTCCGGGAACCAACCAGTACTGAGCAATTAGTGTAAAGCTTCTTGCTCAGGGAAACAATGACTTGCCCCTGACGGGTTTGAACCCATACGGCTTGTGGTCGTTAAATTACTTGCCTGACGCGTTAACCACTCGACCATGCCGCCATTTCTGTACTGGTTCTAACACATTTCCTCTGTAAGTAACCCCTAACTTTCCTGGAACTGTGGTGGAGAATTAATGATAGAAGACGTACTGTTTTCGACCAATTCGTATATAGTCAAAGGAAAACGCGTCTGTACCATGGATTCGAACTTGCGAGCAGGTTACCAGGAGACTATTTGCAGCTTCTACTCAGCTTATCAGACTCTAACAGACTGTGTTAAGAATGTAAAATCCAAAAATTAAATTGTAACAATTGTAAAATCTGCACATCCTCCCCTATTCTTCAATATATAGATAAATAAAATAAAAAAAAAATGGAAAATCGTATATTCGTCTAAGCGTGTCCGGGTACCGAGGGTTGATCGCAAATCTGTTGTAAGTGCTTTTTTATTTCGTTTAAGTGACCAACCCTCGATATATATTTCTGATTTCTGCACCTTTTATTCTGCTTTGATTTTTTTTAAAGTTCCTTTATTTTAAAGTGTCGGATTTCGATATCAAATAAATAAATGAGATAAAATACCGGCAATATATAGACCCTGGTGGCAGATGCTTACCACTAGTACTTTTGATTCCAGCAGGGAACGGATATGGTTCTAAAGTAGCGACATAGACTATAAAATATTCAAAGTTCAAAGTCCATGTGTTTGTATTCAATGCAAAACAACAGTGTTAGTTAACCCAGGGCAGTAAAATTAATAAATTTTACAAACAAATATTTGGTTGGCTAGTTCTATGTATAAATAAAGATATCTAGACAGATTTGTTTCTTTTTGTTTGTTTGTTTTTGTTTTGGTTTTTTTTTTTATTTTTTTATTTTGGTATTCATCGGAAAAGGCTCTTTTAAGTTACTGCAAATAAAAATACATTAAGCACAAATGTTACAGATAAAGTTACATTACATAAAGAAAATAAAGAAAACACTGGTAAATTGTCGTATAGTGCCAAAGCAGATTAGCACAAGATAACACATGTCTGAATTGCTCTTAAACTATTAAAAAACGGGACCCCTCCCCCCCCCCCCCCAAATTAAAAAAAAAAACGACAACAGCACAAGTCAAATGTTTAAGTGCTTTAGGTTAATAAATATACATGCAATTTCACACGATATTGTTAATAATAAGTTAAATGCAGTAATAGTTTATTTTTTTCCACTGTAATGCGGTCTCATCATACTTTCAACTGCATAGCATTAAGAAAAAAATCTGACCAGAAAACACAGTTTATACTCAGCCTAATTTACTTGAAAGATTTATATTGCCTTAATGAACTATATTAGATCTTATTTATTGTAAATATATATTTTTGAGCGTGGTTTCCTAAGCAATGAAGTAGAAGATTAATGGTCTACTTATTTTATTGGTAACCTTAAACTGATGTGTCCGTAACTTCATTTAGGGATTTAACTCATGGCGGGTACCTCTAGACGCTTGCAGAAATCATGATCACAGAGTAGAAAAATATCGCATTTTTCACCGATTCATACAGTTCTTATTCATTATCGTATATAAATCGGTGTGAAAAGATGAATTGCATTTCGGCAGGTGAAAAGACTAGATTTTAACATTTGATCATTCAAGCGCCTCGTCCGGTATATACCGTAATACGGAATTTAATGTTGTGCTCCAACACTTTTTTAGTATCCTAGATTGTGGTGACAATATAATCATGGACTGGGTCAATTAAAATACCGTATCTAATCTTAATAAGTTTGAACAAACACCTGAAGTTAGGTATGCGCTTGCCAAACAAAGTCTTTGCCACAGATGGAACGAAGTGACAAAAATCGAAATCTCTGTAAAGAAAAGAAAGTAATTTATAGATACACATGTCGCATTGCTCGATTTAAAGTTTACAATATCTTTTGTGATGAATTCTAGGCAGAACTGTACGTAAGTATTGATTCCTGGCAAACAAAATGTCCGTTTTGTAAAGGCATCATTACCAGCATGTTTTATCTAGTGATGTGAATACGAACATATGTTTCCGTGGCAGATTGATGTAATTGTTCCGTATAAAACATCTAGATTTCTAACATTTTACTTCAATGTTAAAACTGACGTCCTCGCTGCAACACCGTGATACCGAACAGGACGAATTTTATTCTTATCTGTGCGCGCGCTTTGATTGTTCAAAGATAGTTATCATTTTGCAGATTAACGGACTTTGTTAAACGGTAAATCAGATTATTTTATAATTACTTTCATCTTTAAATGCAAACTTTGTTTGTTCTTTTACGAATCATTATTTTATTTTTTCATTTTTTACACAAATTAGACGTTTTTTAATCTACTTTACAAATAATCAAACTAAAATGACGAACTAAATATAAATAACGCTATTCAATGCTTAAGTTTCAGTCATTAAAGCAAGCAAACATTTTTTTGAAAATTTGAATAGCTTAACAAAAACTCTGCTAAATTAGCTAAATTAAACAAAATTATTTATTTAAACAGAAAAATATTACGTATCGAAAGTTGCATGCCTTCAAATGAGCCTAAATATTTCAAGAAAATCTACATGAAAATATATATTAAGATAGAGATTTTAAGAAAAGTAAAAATATTCACAATACAAGAAATAATTTAAATGTAATATGCAATTAATTTCTAATTGCGCAGTATTTATCAACATATTTCCACTGCGTGACTAATGTAAGTAAGGGCTATTTTTGCATATTCTAAATTATTTTTGTAATTTTCGTTGATTCTAAGTACCATTTTCAATGTGTAAATTACTTTCTCTGTTCACTTGACAATATTTTACTTTTTAATATATTTTAAAAATTTTCATGAAAATTATTATGAAACTGGAGGCATGCTGTTTAAGGAAAATAAAATAATATTCTGTGATACATGTAATTATTTGATATAAGAACATATTCGAGAAGGGAAACTGGTTATGTTAATTTGAGTTTAATAAAAAAAAACCTGGAAATCTCGATGATGTAATGCAATCGTCAAGAAAACGAGCTCATTTGGCTGTGGAGTGTCTACATAAAATGGAACACAAAAAAGAAACGGGCAAATGTCGGCGTTGAATGTCATGGTTAACTGGAACACATCAGAGAAACAGGCAGATGCCGGTGTTGGATAAACGTGCCAGAGGAAAGGGAAAATGTCATTGTTGAATGTCATTGCTGAATGAAACACGTCAGAGAAACGGGCAAATGTCGCTGTTGACACAGGTAGAGTGTAATCAGCGTCACTATATCTGTGATAACAACGACGTACAACCGTCATATACAACAGACGTCATTTAAAATAACGTTATATACAACGCACGGGCGCCACTAGCCATAACAGAGATGTCGTGTCTAATGCGCTTACAACACGATTGTTCCGAGAGTGCATACTATTCAATGAGGTAACAATAATATATCTTTTCTGCAAGTTATCGGTTTGCACCGGTATTCATGGCGATATAAGAAATCAATTATATTCTGAGCTTATCAAAATGTAATATGCTTAGAGATTAATTGATCGATAAAAAGGGGTGTGTCAATGTAAATGTAAGTCATGTGATTAACACGAGTTAAGTGCTGATTGGTTTCATCGATTATGCATAGGCAACGCCTCCTAGATAGCTCTCCCCTGATAGGATACGAATTATTTGTCTTCCCCGAGCTTAAACAGCGTCTTTCTGATTGCTGTCCGATTACTTTAATTTCTTTCTTTTTTCTCGCGAGAACAATCAGTAAAACTTGATAGAAAAGCATGTAAAACAATCTAAAATAACAATGTACTTGAAAATAATTGTGTTTTCGAAATCAATTATTTATCATTTAGGCTTCTAAGTAAGTCGTTTGATACTAGATTCAAATCATGCGTATATAATAACTTTTGTCAATAAATTCTTTTCAGGCGACACAATGTTAAGAAAACAACCCAAGAGCACTTTAAGAACAAAGGAACCCCAGATAGTGTTTGTTTTCCCTGGAACATACGATAGTACATCCCAGGTTTTCCCCTTCTTTAATATCAGTTTTTGCTTTATGTATATGTGTTTGCATAATATTAATAGACATAATAAAGATATTTACAAAAAACACTATTGTTTCGAAGCTGTTTACAATGTAATTGGAAATACTAGTACTTCATTTTAACAATGCTATTTGTACTTAAGAAACTTTTTTGTCAACATATGAGAATCCAGTCTAACAAGAAAATTTACTATTAACTAGTGTATTTAGATAGAAAATATATAGTAATTGGTCCTTTGGGGTTATTAACTTCAGTCCTTTTATTGTTAAAATTTGAATACAGTTTTTCACCCGGTGTTAGGGTGCTGAGTGTATGATGTTTCACATTTCATTACATATATCTCTAATGTAATGCATCGAAAATACGCTTCAGAAAAATGATATACTATTCTGTGTAATGAACACCGTAGTAATATGTTATTATTATTATTTTTAAAGAATTATTATAAATATTATTAATAAATTAAACCTAGTCTGTAATTTTTCTCAATGTGTTCGTGCGTGCGTGTTTCTACATGCCAGTCTGTGTGTATGTATGCATTATTTGTTTTGTTTATTTGATTATATGTTTATTTGTTTGTTTGTTTTCATCGTTCTCGACGGGGCAAATCCTCTTTTCCAGAATTACTAGTAAAAAGGTATTCTATATACTTCATCATACATTATACAGGAAATTTAGCAACCCGATTGTCACATGATTTGATTCATATGTTGTCGGTCATCAATGAAACAGCCTGCCACATTACTGTCATATTAGATCCATTTTCCAATGTTTATATGACATGTTGAAGATATTTTCATTTTAATCTCATGTAAGAAATCTTGTAATCGATGATTAACTACCAGCCAGCTGTTGCTGTAACTACTACATGGCAAACAACATGATGTATGTTGTTTAAAATGATGTTCGTACATTAAACTTTAAAGGCCCATTAACAAATTCAATTGATTAAAACTATACAAGGTATTTCGATTTCTAACTGAAACATGCTGAATCTAAAGAACATTGTGAAATACAAAAATCGATACATGATCATCTGTTCCGTTAATCGATGTTTAAGATAATATGAGCCGCGTCACGACAAAACCAACATTATGGGTAAGCGAACAGTATGGATCCTGATCAGACTGCGCGGAAGCGCAGGCTGGTCTGGATCCATGCTGGTCGGAAACGCATTATCTTGGTTTTATCGTGTCGCGGCTCATATACTCTCAAACATGACACTATAATTTACCATTTTGAAAAAAAAAATCAATAAAATAGTCACAAATATTTTTTTTCTTTTTTTTCTCTCTCTTTTTTCGCGTTTTACCTTTTTGCATGCAAACAAATAGAATATGCTAAAATGCCAAAATAGAACTGTATATAAAAATGTCAAAATATTGTAAACCCAGAAAAAATGTAATAAATGTACGAGCAATATGATTTTTTTTTATCATTATACCTTTTCCTGTCGCCTAATAAATACCCCCCCCCCCCCGCCCAAAAAATGTAAGCCAATCAACGAGCATACCCTATTTCTGTCCCCGACAGACAGTACGGTGACTGGAGTGCTGGTAACTAATACATGCACTCAAGTTCACGCACTGAACGATGTGACTGACCGTTAAATACGACACTGATTTAACTTATTTCTCTCATTTTTCAATTTCCGGGAAGGTATTTTTAAACCTTGAAGCTGTTTTGCGGTCAGTTATATTGATTATAAGTTCCGTATCTCCGAAGATAAATTCAATATAAATAGTTCTCTCTTCCCTAGACGGATTAGGGACTTGATATTCTATTTTACCTAGAATCCACGTGTTCTTGTCTGTAACGTAGGTCGGATTCAGATCAGACGAAAAGTATACGTCTATTTCTATCACTTTCTGGAATGGTTCTATCGTTGTCAATGAGTCATAAGACATGAACCCAACAGGTGCGCGGGAACCAGCAGATATAAAAGGACAGAACACATCCGTAACAAAATCCATTCCTTGAAGGGTGACCATCCTATCCTGTGGATGTACATCCGGGTTAAATAGCTTTGCTTTTCGCAGACCATACGTATATCTTATCACTCGTTGAAATATACTTCGTGGTTGATGTCCGAACATAACCGCACCCTTAAGAACCGAAAGTTCCGGTTCCGGCGGAACTACTATTCGTTGAATGTTTGTTTTCCCCTCGAGCTCGTTCTTCAATACTTCCTGAACCACATTTGAACCAGCCATTCCGCCGACTAAGATTAAATTACTGCAGTCTTTGGCGTTTTTCTCCGACAAAACAGATTTAATGCATCGCGCAATGTCAATACAGGCAGACCGAATGAAGTCGTAGAACAAAGATGGTTCAAAATGCATCTTATTGTCGGACACCTTTACTTTATCTCTGTAAACCGACTTTGTAAACAGAGAAGTCATCGTCTCACCTTTATGGATTTTACGACAGATTCTTTCAAGCCCGACCGGTATCCGTACAGATAGAGGTGTTTTATGATTAGTTGTCAATTGGCACTTATTTCCTTCAAAGTCACGCAGCAGTTCCAAAAGCTCAACTTTGCTTTCGTCTAAAAACTCCCTAACTGCCGGCGCACCGAATACTCGAACTAGAAACTGAAGGAAAGCGTTGTCAATATGTCCGGAACCCGCTGTACAACCACCACCTCTATTCATCTCCTTAATCCGGCCATCCTGTCTCTTGACATGAAATACAACGTCCGTTGTACCCCCTAGTGAAAAATATAGAATACTGTAGGTTATGTAACATGAAAAGTTAAGTTTTAATCTAAACTATGCCAACGAAAGCAAATCCAAATAAAAGAGCATGTAAAACATGGAACGTTTCTAAAGTGCGCATATATACATTGATCCAAAGTTGAAATATGATTTTTTTCAAACTAGCTCAAAGATCTTTTAAATAGTTCTTATGAATAGTGTTTTGGTCCGGATTGGTGAAATAAAAGCTGCCTGGTTTTAAAGGCGTGTAGTCGGTTGGTCCAGGCTCAAAAGTTCGATCCTGCCATGTGATCTACATGTACATATCCAGCTGCAAAAAAATACTCCTACAAGTTTACGCTAAACTTTCTTATAATACCCAATGGAAATACATGTACATGTTTTTATTTCTCTTACCTCCGAGATCAGCCACAACGTACGTTGTTCCGACAGAATGTATAGGTAATTTGCCGACACCTTTCATGTTCTGACAGTAAACTGACGCAACTTCCGCTTCTAGAGCAAGTTTTAACCGCTCACCAGGTATACCGGCCTGAAAAATAAATGGAATATCTTGTCACAGTCTACTTTCCGAAGTCAGACGGAATATGCCGAAATTATGCGATTCCTGCTTGAGAAGAAACTGTATGTGGTGAAACAGTGCGATAAATATGCTAAAAAATCATGTTTTACTTATTTCTCATATACTTGATAAATAAAAACAGTAATAAGAAATCTAAAAGTGTATGTTTTGTCCAGAGTTATCATTTACAAAAAATGTCAATAGTTACGAGGTATTTGTAACTCTCCGTGACCAATTATGTAATGGCAAGCACAGACGCTTGGGGTTTGGAGCTCAAAACGCCTTTAAAATCCAAATAAAATGCATATTTGTCAATCCCAGGACATGTACTGATCATATATATCAAAAAAATCTTAATATATGCCGTTTTGAAAAAAAATCATATTTCAACATCTATAATAATACACGCTTGGGGTTTGGAGCTCAAAACGCCTTTAAAATCCAAATAAAATGCATATTTGTCAATCCCAGGACATGTACTGATCATATATATCAAAAAAATCTTAATATATGCCGTTTTGAAAAAAAATCATATTTCAACATCTATAATAATACACGCTTGGGGTTTGGAGCTCAAAACGCCTTTAAAATCCAAATAAAATGCATATTTGTCAATCCCAGGACATGTACTGATCATATATATCAAAAAAATCTTAATATATGCCGTTTTGAAAAAAAATCATATTTCAACATCTATAATAATACACAAGATAAAAATGTTCGCCGGAAAAAATCCGCACCCCTACCGTCATAATCACCATGTATTTTAATCCATTTCCAATATTTTCACATAATCCTTTGGTCCATCGACACAGAAGATATAATTCTTCACGATGATGGTCAATTTTAAACTTCAACGGTAATATAAACAACGCAACAGCCGAAATAAACATCAATATTCTCGCCGTTTTTTTTTTAACGACAAAAACTTTCGATAAATTCAATGGACCAGACGGCTATGAACGAAGCTATCCGATTATGTGGCCCCAGCTTTGCCGTGTGCAAAATGCGCAGCGCTTTTAAGTTTGGGAACCACATAATCGGATAGCTTCGTTCATAGCCGTCTGGTCCATTGAATTTATCGAAAGTTTTTGTCGTTAAAAAAAAAAACGGCGAGAATATTGATGTTTATTTCGGCTGTTGCGTTGTTTATATTACCGTTGAAGTTTAAAATTGACCATCATCGTGAAGAATTATATCTTCTGTGTCGATGGAGCAAAGGATTATGTGAAAATATTGGAAATGGATTAAAATACATGGTGATTATGACGGTAGGGGTGCGGATTTTTTCCGGCGAACATTTTTATCTTGTGTATTATTATAGATGTTGAAATATGATTTTTTTTTCAGAACGGCATATATTAAGATTTTTTGATATATATGATCAGTACATGTCCTGGAATTGACAAATATGCATTTTATTTGGATTTTAAAGGCGTTTTGAGCTCCAAACCCCAAGCGTCTGTGATGGCAAGCATAGCAAATTCTAAACATGATCTTTTTTAACAAGTTATGTCTCAAGACAGTAGTATTTGTGGTAAAATATCAAGAAAAAGTATTTTGTCTTTTAGTAACAATAAATATGTACTCCTTAGGGACAATGTTCCTACAGGTAAACTTTATATGTACACATTCTGAGCGTTTATTTGCATACAGAAAAATGAAAATCAGCATAAATTCGTACTTGAATAGCAGCTTGTCTAATAAACTGTTTCGAGACATCGTTCCAGAATGCCGGTACAGTCACCATCCATTTAATGTCCTCCGTCGCAACTTCCCTTCCGCGCATGCGTAGAGCGTTTAAAAGATGACCTTTAAGGTATCGTATGGTGACTGAAAATACTTTCAATCCCTGAATTGGTTTCCCATTCTCATCTTTTAAATTCATCGATGTTTTGATAACCTTTGAAAAAATATGTAGATTTTTTAAGTATGATAAGCAAAATTGATTAAAATTTCCCAATAAAAAGAATATTTCAAAACAGAAAACAATATTTTGAAAGGGACGCTCCTCTTAACAAAGTTTTAGCAGCTGAAATGAAATAAACGTTTCCTCTTACAACGAGTTTGTTTGTTTGTTTGTTTGTTTTATTGGGTTTTACGTCACATCGACACAGTATTGGTCATATTGCGACGTTCCAGCTTTACTGGTGGAGGAAAACCTCAGATGCCCCTCCGTGCATTATTTCAGGCACGAACGGGCACCTGAGTAGAACCACCGACGTTCCGTAAGCTAGCTGGATAGCTTCCTCACATGAAAGAATCCAAGTCCCTGTCGGGAATCGAACCCACAGCGGTGAGGGACAAGTGGTTTGAAGTCAATGACCTTAACCACTCGGTCACGGACGCCCGCTCTTACAACGAGTAATAAAGAAGAAAATTTAACACGAGGTCAATGAAGTAAATAAATTTTGGTGCCAAAGATACAGTATGGTTGGGCCAATTGTCAGCAAAGGGACCTTTAGTGTGTGTTTTTTTTTAAAAAATCACCGTCCTCATTGGGCGGTGTGTGTGCGTGCGTGCGTGCATTTGTTTACCCACCAAACCGAGGACGGTGCTTTACCGAAGGTTTGTCTTTTGAGGGTTACATGTCCCCAGCGGTATAAATTACTACTTCAAGCAATCTTTCCTACATTTATCAACAAATTATCTCATTTTTAGCTACCTGGCTGGTCAGTTTTGTTTTGAAACGCCTGAAAAAATAACATCTCTGATGACGGCCTTGTTGGTACAATTCTGAATAACGCTTTTCTGCCTCGTAACCGAACGCCTCGAATTCCCGCTTTTCGTTCAGCAATAGATGGGTAGGGGTTTTGAATGTTGCCACAGATTTTTCAAGGCCGTTCCAGTGTCCATTCATTATAACACTGTCCATGTTTTCATCTAACTCCCGTCTAAATGGAAACAATATAAAATCATGAGAAAAGGGCAAAAATATTTCCCAGATATCAGCGATTATATCATTTTAGCAAATCGCTTGAAATATGTTGCAAATAAAACTAACAAAAAATATATCATACACAATAAAGGTAATCTTTTAATAAGTAATTTTATCAGTGTTTTGTTCTCTGTTTGAACATGTGCTGTAAGCGAATTAGGAACTATCGAAGTCATGTTATTTGTTACCTCCCTTTGCAGATAATACCTTCTAATACAAAACTCCATCGTCGGATACCCACGGCCGAACCATTAGTATTTAATCAACCGTGGGTATCCGACGGTGACAAGACTCTTGTTCGGAGATTTTATAAAGAAATCCGCAAATTTTAAACATATCTTCAAATTAAACTTTTACACATGTTAAATATTAATGTGAAAAAATGGTACCTTATTCCATAAGCATATCCCGAGTGAGATGTTCCTATATCTATTGCAGCTACCATAGAAAACGCCGAGTCATCTATCGTCGTCACTGATGCACGAGATTTCGTGCTCATTGACACGCTCATCTTATCCATCGTGTCTGGAGGGAATACCTTCTGTCTTAATGCGAGTTGATAGCTTCTTTCTTAATGCTACCGGCTAGCTGCTCTCTTAACTAAGTAGCCTGGGTTTCGGATATTCCATTTTTAATATATGTTTACCGTGAAAACAGCGAATTCATTTAAACAGAATTAAAAAAAATCACAAAGAACAATGCTATGTCATTTTATCTAAGTTAACTTCATTTTCCTTTAAAGTAATACTTAAAATGTTGTTTAAATATATTGTACTTCATTTGAATAAATATGTTTGTAATTTAGACAGTCCACATGCTTGACTAAGTTGCAGCTTACACGAGATTAGTGGATTTAATCCGCCTAAGATTTTAGATTAACAACGAAAGTTTTGGTAAGGGCATGTAATTTATTCACAAATGACAGGGTTACTTAGTACATGTATCTAACGTGCAATGATGTAATGCCGAGTGTTTTAACTTTCCTTTGTGTTTTCATTGAGACAATTTGATCAATTAGTAGGTCACAGAGGACTGTTGCAGAAATCTACCTACCCTACCTAAATTCATGTTTATTGTTCATACATTTCCAAATTTAAAATCAACAAAATAAATACATGATTTTTGACAGATATATTGTGTGACTTATTGAAAATACAAGAAAATTAGGTGCATAAAATACTCATCTTTTGAGTATATTGCTTTGTGTTCTTCTGGGACTAGTGTCCATCTATTCCCCCCTTACCACAGTTAGTTTGAATCCCACTAGTACTAGCGACTTGGGATTCTTTCATGTGAGGAAGCTATCCAGCTAGCTTACTTGACTCAGGTTCCCATTCGTGCACGGAGGAACACCAGAGATCTTCTTCCACCCATCTATAAAGCTGGAAAACAGCTGACATTACTGTGTTGGTGTGACGTTTTAAACTCTAAAAAATATTAAGGACATTAAAGGTCCTATTAGTGCTGCAAATTCATAGGGTAAAATGACACCGAAGTGGTCTATGTCAGCCAACAGCAAGTTTTATATACCAAATTGTTCGTCTTGGTCTGTAGTTTCCGGAATGGATATTCATTTGGTTCAAGTCCGATGCGTAGCTTAAAAATCCAAGATGGCGTCAAAGATGGCCGCCAAATCCCTAAATATTCTAGAATAATAATATTTGCTCACATTTTTTTCCGCTTTTGTATTTCAAGTGAATTTTTTGCACGGAATATATCATTTAAAGCGTTTTATACGAAAAGATTAATTTTATTGGAGAAAACAGATCGCTTTTTGCTTTTTTTATACGTAAATAAGCAAAATAATGCTAAACTTATGGGGTTTTGCTATGACACTCTTGTCTATGCTTAAACAGAGACATATTTATTACTTATTTTGTTATTCCACTATTGTAATGTACTCATGAGAGTAATGCTTTAATGCATTTATATCATATCTTAAGAAATCTTTCTTTGTAATTATGCAGTCAGACATGTAAAATGAGAGGCGGTACATTAAAATAGTTTTTGAATGTAAGGTTGTAACTGGTACTTATTTGTTCTATCAATTATTTCATCAAATTTTGTGTTTCTGTCAAATTATAGCTTCTTTAGTGCAGTCCATGTAACTGATTAACATAATAAACCAGGAATATGATAATTTGCTTTTGGGTTTTTAATGAATTATTGTACAAATCGTACCCCACCCACTATGAATAAAAATCTAGAGAAACTCTGACCCCTCGATTATACTGATCATATGGAATGACAATATTTACGTAAGTTAATAAACATAAGGTAATTTTCAAAGTGTGATACTATTACAGGTATCCTGTCAGATCTAAAATTCTGTTCAAAAATGTGTTACCAATTAAATAACTAAAGCATGATTTTGTTGTAAGTTCACCTAAGGATTTGAAAGTACAATGTGTGCAAAACAACCTCTGTTCATTTATTTATATGTTAGACACCTTTTTATGTCAAATGAAATGTAATTTACTTTTTTAAAGTTTCTTAAATTGACAACACAGTCATTTAAAAAGTTTGATATTTTATCTACATAGATCATTACTCTGTTGACCTTCGGTTTCATGAAACATGCATAGTAGTCGGATAAAACATAATGTTTATATGAAAATCGTTCAGCTTGGCATTATAATTGTGTTTGTGTTATTTAAATTTCTTCTATTTGACCTGTTTCGATTCTAGTATTTCTTTATAAATAGTGTATAATAACCCTTTGGATAAATAGTGAATAATAACCCTTTGGATATGTTACCTGCTTTTAAAGATTATATTTTGACCTTTGATCCCGTTGTATAAATCCATTTATTTAGTTTCGCCAATTGTTTTCTATTTCTTGAGGACAATATGTTGTATGTCGTAGAATTGCACGAACATTTTACATTGAAGATACTATGATCACTTTCGTATGAATACATCTATGGACGTGTCTGCACTTCCTTTAAGTGTACCAGTTTATGTAAAATTGAGAATTCTGCTTAAGCCGGTGCTAGGGTGTGTGGCTGGTAACCCGGTATGTTCCAATATGACGACACAGTGTTAATAAATTAAATCCCCGCCAAGTAAAATTCTAACAATTGTTATGGTTACATTAGACGAAATAAATAAAATACATACATGATCGTGTAAATTTGTACAATTAATTAAGGTACAGCCTAATTACCATATAACCAAAGTACTCGATGCCTTAAAGGAAGGCAGAGCAACAGAACATTACTTACCAAGACAGAAGACGAAATTAAAACAATTAACAACGCACAAAACGTCAAAAATGAAAATGTTGCAGGCTCGGTTTGAATGAGCCTGTTCATGAACTACAGTACACGCCCCTAGCACCGAATTAAGCAGAATTCAACAATTAATCATGGTTATGGTGAACTTTTGGATTTAGAAACAACCGCAGACGTGCTTATAATGTGGTTATCATGGAACCTTCAATTTGACACGTTAGTGTAATTCCATAAAAAGCGGCGTATGGTCCTCAAGTACAAGAATATGTGTGCCCTAAACAAGAAAACAATGAGCAGACCTAAATAAAATGGAATTTTGAAAGGGGATCAGAGGTTTCGAAGCCTGCATTGCCACAGATAAGCTGTCATCTCCACATAAATGAGGCCTGCTTATACCTAGACGTAAATGAGTTTTTAAAGTACAATAAAAATTTTAATTTATCTGAATTACGACGACAGGACTTTGTAAACTATTTACGTAATTTATAGTAGCTATAGCCTTGTTAAAGAAAGTTCATATTACTCTACGCCCCCTAGCACATAGCACAAAAGTTTGTCAGTAATAAATATATTGCATGCATTAAAATCATCCACACGACAGCAGGCACAGGCAAATCTTATTAACTTAGAAATATATATATATATATATATATATATATATATATATATATATATATATATATATATATATATATATATATATATATATATATATATATATATATAATATATATATATATATATATATATATATATATATAATACCCAATATGATGTTGCATGAAGTACATGTGAACAGTTAACAACATTATTTTTAAAAAAAAAAACAATTATCATAGATTTTAGTAACTATGTTATTGTTAATGATAGAAATGTTAAAATTTGAAAATATTAAGAGTTTGTTTTATTCATTTTACGTTCACTTGGATATATTTAAGATTTCACTTGATCAAATTTGATTATTCATGTTAAGGATATCATCTAGGTAGCGGCAAGTGCTATTTAATGCAACGTATAGCTTCCGGTTGTGAAATAGTAGAGCGACTTACATAAAATCCCTCTAGTAACTAACATGTCATTGACATTATAATTGTAAAAATCAGGAAAAGAGAATATCCTTTGAGAGCAATTAAACATGGCAAAGTTGATAATTCAAACTCAGTTTGATGGGGTGTGTTCATGAGAGACCATATCTCACGTCTCTTAGTACCAACTAAGTAGTATCCGATCCTCAACTATAAAAGTTTTGCAATCAATGATCCCGAAGGACCAAGTCGTCCGGTTAGCTCAATAGATAGAGCGTTGGACTGTGAATCGGGCAACCCGTGTTTGATTCCCGGACGGGGCAGGTCACTTTCGTTATGACTGATCATGAAATAGTTTCTATGGTTATTCGCACTGTACCACTGCTCTGCTATGTACAAAAATTTAAGTTCCTTGCGAAAGTTAGGGCAACTAGTACTGGTAAACTGTTTGACAGCCTGTCCAGGAACGATTCGGTGGCTGAACTGTGCTCTGGTAAACTCAATATGGTTACTGCCGTGATCCGGATTGAAAACTACCGACACCACCATCCCGAAGGACCTATTAATATAACACTGTTAACCTGCTGTTGCAGACTCGGTTTGACTGAGCCTGTTCATTGACGGTACTGGGAAGTTCATGTTACTCTACGCCCCCTAGCACATAGTATTACTATCAAGTACCCGCCAGGGAAAAGATTAGCTATTTTCGTCCAATTGAAAGGCTTTCTTAATTCCTTCCATGAAGTAAACAACAAACTTGAAACAAAATGCTCAAAATCATACACAGGAGCTGTCAGTCGGACAGCGTGCTCATCTATTCTCAGTGCTTGATAGTAAAAAATGGGACATAATATTGTAAAAAAGCTTTACATGTCCTTTTTATGTTTGGGGTCCACCTGGGCTCCTTGCCATTGGTTCTTGTTGCTGGGTCATATGGGGGTTGCGTTCATTGAACGCCGCCTTTCCTTGTTGATCTTGTTTTTCATATTTGATACAGTGACCTCCTTTGTACACAGGTTGAGATTATGATGGTGAACAAGTGTGCAAGGTCTCAAAGCGATATGTCGATGGAATTTTGAAATTTTGGTAATGTAAATTCAAAGTTGAAAAAAGAAGCATATTTCTGTCAAATTGCTTGATAGACCTCCTCCAGTGTTCAAGTGGAGGGCATGATCATGTTAAACAAGTGTGCAAGTTTCAAAGCCATATGTCAATGGACTTTGAGATGGTACGCCGACGCTCTGGCGACTAGGATAGTTGTCCTTAATCGTCGAATAGTTTAGCTAAAAAGAAACTGCCCTCATAATATATAGTTTCAATTTACACAATATATATATTTATATAATATTTTATTTATAATTCAGATACAGTCTAGCAGAAAAGTATCTTACTGTAAACTGAATAACCCACAGACACTTGGGGTTTGGAGCTCAAAACGCCTTTAAAATCCATATAAAATGCATATTTGTCAATCCCAGCACATGTACTGATCATATATATCAAAAAATCTTAATATATGCCGTTTTGAAAAAAAATCATATTTCAACAACTATAATAATACACAAGATAAAAATGTTCGCCGGAAAAAATCCGCACCCCTACCGTCATAATCACCATGTATTTTATTCCATTTCCAATATTTTCACATAATCCTTTGGTCCATCGACACAGAAGATATAATTCTTCACGATGATGGTCAATTTTAAACTTCAACGGTAATATAAACAACGCAACAGCCGAAATAAACATCTTTATTATCGCCGTTTTTTTCCAACGACAAAATCTTTCGATAAATTCAATGGACCAGACGGCTATGAACGAAGCTATCCGATTATGTGGCCCCAGCTTTGCCGTGTGCAAAATGCGCAGCGCTTTTAAGTTTGGGAACCACATAATCGGATAGCTTCGTTCATAGCCGTCTGGTCCATTGAATTTATCGAAAGATTTTGTCGTTGGAAAAAAACGGCGATAATATTGATGTTTATTTCGGCTGTTGCGTTGTTTATATTACCGTTGAAGTTTAAAATTGACCATCATCGTGAAGAATTATATCTTCTGTGTCGATGGACCAAAGGATTATGTGAAAATATTGGAAATGGAATAAACTACATGGTGATTATGACGGTAGGGGTGCGGATTTTTTTCCGGCGAACATTTTTATCTTGTGTATTATTATAGATGTTGAAATATGAATTTTTTTCAAAACGGCTTATATTAAGTTTTTTTATATATATATGATCAGTACATGTGCTGGGATTGACAAATATGCATTTTATTTGGATTTTAAAGGCGTTTTGAGCTCCAAACCCCAAGTGTCTGTGGAATAACCTACCCATTTTAAATGTTCTAGCAAATTACATTTTACATTTTAATGTATATATTATATCCGTCATCAATAATGACAAAACTCCAAATATGGTTCAATTGTAGATTATCATATGTTAAGCCAATTGCCTTAAAACAAGAGCTGCATGTCAGACAGCACGCTCGAATATTTAAAATCAACAGCCTGCATAATAAAGAAATTCTCTTATTCATAAGTGCCCGTATGTAAACAATGACGTATTATTTACCACCTTCGCATTTCTATAGTCCGTTTCAAACTGGCATCGAGACACGAATACCTTTTTTGCGCGTGTGTATCTACCCCCCTTCAGGCGGTAGCTGTTTGTTTGGTGTTTTTCTTCTCATTCTCCCATGATAATGATAATAATTAATTTTCCTCTTACAAATATCTTAAAAATATTTTTGAACTGTGTAGAAATTTATTGAATAAAACCATGTCATGTGTTAAATTAACAAATATTCACTACTGTTATGTATACTCATGTGTTATATTGTATGTAACTTGAGTTAATAAAGATATGTTCTGTTCTGTTCATAAAGTTGTATAACTCTTTGAAATAAAAAAAATGTTAGAGGGAAGTAACCTACAATAATGATCTCAAAGATTTGTTTAGCTTCAAGTGCATTACCTTAATGGTTGTGGAGATATATCTTGTCCGAGAAATTCTATAAGTTAATAAATAGATATTATTATTTCCTAATAAATGCTTAGCTTATGGGTCTTGAACAGTGGCATACAAGAATAATCGAAATCACATTTGAAGACTAACAATGAATGTTTATGGCTAAGGAGAAACAAACTTGCAAACAAATCCTTAACAAAAGGCTAGCACAAGGTCAACGCAAATACTGAATTGCAGGTCAGTAAATTCGTTCCTTAGTGTGTGCATAAAACAAATAAAAGAGATATTCCAACATTTAGACACACATGCAGGGCATTTTCTATGAAAGGTAAGATGTCTCATCACTAACCAATTAAATAAAATTGTTAATCTTTTTAATATCACTATTATAATATAAAACAAAAAAGTATTTAATTTAAAGTTGACTCCCCGTTCGTAATACCCCACCCACTTTGTATATGAATTTAGATCAATAAAATACATTTATGGCAGAGTTCGCTTGTTCTTACGTATTCTAAATATGTGTAGATATAGTTTTAAAGCTGTATTAAACGAAATCATGAATGTTATTCAGTTTAAACAAGAAAAAAACTAATAAGTTACACATATTCAGAAAAGGACACCTAGTTTGCAAGATACTTTTTCTTCTTTCGTTAAAATTAGGCAATGAAAAATAGAAAAAAATCAATAAAGTCAAAATTTATAGCATAAGTAAGTTGAAAATAAGAAATTTTAGTAAAATGGGCTGATTTGCAGCACTATATATAGAAGCGTTATAAAACTTATTAGAAGAAATAAAATTCTTATTTGTTCTTTGAATAAAAACCTAATTAATCGAAACAATGTTCAAACTACGTTTATATTTTAATAGTTAGGATTTTTAGCTTAACACAAAGACTTACAAAGTGCTAATTAGAATCTTAGTTAGGCTTTTTTAAGCTGCGTTCTCACTCCCGGCAGAGCCCAGGACCATCCCGGAAAGTTACCGGGATGATCCGGGGTGAAATTATTGTTGCGGTCACACTTACCCCGGCAGCACTACGGTAGTTCCCAACTAACGACCCAGGATGCGCTCCGGATCATCCAGGCAGAGCCCAGGTGGAGCTACGGTTCATGCCGGTGCTTCCCCGGTCGTTTCCGGATGACGCCGGAAGAGCTCCGGTTGACCCAGACAGAGCCCCGGTCGATCCAGGCAGAGCCCCGGCAGAGCCCAGGACGATCCAGGCAGAGCCCCGGTGGATTGAAAACGCCCGAAAATGATAACATTGATACATAATTTTAATTTAATATAATATCTATTGTTCTAGTATAGTAATTCATGATGATTTTCTGAAAAATCCTTATGCCATACTGGATAGAAGGGAAATGGGAAGGGTTTTAATACAAACAAGTGCATTCATCGCAAAGTGTCGTAATTCTTTTGAAATGATTCGGGCTTTGCCGGGGCTCTACCGGGATCAACCATAGCTCTACCTTTATTCACCAGGGCTCTGCCTGTAGTTACCGGGGCTCTGCTGGCATTTACCGGGGCTCTACCGGCTATATCATACCCCGGATTATCCCCGGTTTGTGCCGGCAGAGCTACGGTGCTTCCCCGGTATAACCCCGGTCGTTCCCGGTAAAGATATGGATGAAGCCGTCAAAGCTATACCTTCCCGGACCACCCCGTTGATATTAAATATTTTATTCCATCCGGGGTCGAATGCCGGATGTTCTCGGACGTTGGCGGCTCCTAAACAAAGTTCTAATTAAAATTTTAGAACTGATAAAGACTTTGCACCATATAGTTGTCTTTTTTTATAGATTTGTTCGACCATGCGACCACATACATGCATCGGGAACATGTTATAAGGAAAGTGACCGTGCGACCACATACACGCATCACAGGATTCCCCTTCTCTTACGAGAAAGAGACAAAGAGCAGTCCGCCTTTTCATTTAAAGGTAGACTTTAAAAATATGCCATTCCCTTATTGATAAGGAGGCTTTTTTTCAAACATAATGTTTTGAATTGGTTTATATACAAAAACAGTTATGCTAACCAATTGGGGAATCAGTTTTCGTCCTTTCAAGTTCGCTATGACATTTTGGAAATAATCATATTTAATTTTATGGAAAATTTTGAATTTATTTTTTCTTTCTACTATTTATTCTATGAATATAATAGAATTATTATATTTCTGTAAAACATGTACGTTTTAAAAACGTTTTATATGTATAACATATGGGGGATATATTTCACACTTTGTTAGCAAAAATTAGCCTTGGGGGATTTAATTTCTATATTCGACTTATCCTACTTGTAATAGAAAATGTTATGTGATGGCTGCAAGTAATAATAGAGTAAACTTGTAGCTGCCCTTGCAAGACTTACATATTTGTAAGCCTGATTTTAAAAAATGCACTTTTTAAGATTCCATTCTTTGAGAAATGTCTGTCAATCGGGTAATATCAATATAGAAATTTCTAAAGTTAGTCACACAAAAAAACAACCCGGACATTTCGGACCAGATATTTGGACATGTCGGTAGAGAATACGACGTTTCATTAAAATATACTGGAATAATGCAAAGTTATATTGTTTCTAGTTTAAACAGAATTTATTTCGGTTCGATTCTAAATAAACACTTAGAACTGAAACCAACCAGCAATTAGTGTAAATCTCTTCTGTGATGGCTGAAATGACTCAAAAATGTAATTGCGTGATAAAAAAGAATTAAGGAGAATAAAGATCCCTCTCATGCACTCACTTATATACATACGGAGGAGATCGGGGCTCTTTAGGGGTACAATCTTGCACGGTATATGGAACAACGACAACATTTTTTTTATACAGCATAAACATAATTAACATTAATTTTATTTATACAATTTCAATATACATGTATTTACATTTCTGAAACTTCCTTATATATACCCTGAAACCTCAGTATTCAAGCCTTATCCAGTCTTTAGTGTAATATGCTAACTTGTGGCAATTATACAGATAGAAAATAACATTTATTTTACATGCGCTATTTGATATTTTTTTTATAACTTGTTACTTATTTTAGAAGGTCACTAGCATCACAATATATACAGTAGCTTAACAATGGCATGGTAAGCAAAATATCTCCATTTTAATTCAACATTTGTTGATTAATCCTGTCATACATGGTCATTAGTATTATCCGTTCCCAAAGCTTAAGTTGCGCACTACTTTTCTTTCAAGACCGGAAATGAGTACTTTGTCTTGAAAGAAGTTTTCTTGTCAGTAATTATTAACTCTAGTTCAGTTCCCCCTAACACGAAATCTACATAGATAGATCTTGCTTCCTCCGACGGAATAGGGATTTGATATTCGATTTTTCCGAGGCTTTCACAACCCTCGTCGGTAACGAAATTATGCGAGAGTGACGTTGACTGATATAGATCAATTTCAATCTTCTTTTGGTGTGGTTCCGTCGTTGTAAGCGCCTGGTGAGATATAAACCCGGCTGGTACCCGTGTGCCGATAGTGAGGAAAGGTGAAAATATATCGAGGATGTATTCTATGCCGTTCAGTACGGACCTACGTGACGCTGCGTGCATTTCCGGGTTAAACAGTCTTGCGATCCGCATTCCTTGCGTGCATCTGTTGACCCTGCAGGCGATTGCTGCTGGATTATGCCCGTATATCACGGCACCTTTCAGGGCAGCAACATCGGAATCAGGCGGGACTATAATCTGTTTGATTTGACTCTTCCCGACAAGTTCCTGATGCATTACTTCCTGCACGACCTCTGATTCAGCAAACGCCCCGGTTAAGACAAGAATGGTAACATCTTTTGCAGGTTTAAAACTCGCCAATGTCTGGCCAATCATCTTGGCCATTTCAACAGTTATTGCCCTGAAAAATTCATTGCTTACAATAGCGTCTATTCTTAGCCTTTGGCCAATGAGTTTGACATGTCCTTTGTACACGGATCTGAAGATCACATTAGCTAGATTGTCATTATACTGCTGTTTCTGGCACAAGAGCTGGATACATGCCGGCACCTTGAGGTCAATGTAACTGGTGGTAATTGGCGTCACGTTGCGCTTCTGGTATTCAAACTCGTGCATCATCATGAGAAATTCTTTCCTATATTTATTTACGAATTCATCAGCGATCGCATCTCCTAGTAATTTGTGAAGAAACTGTACAAATATGTTGTCAACAGATCCACCTCCTAATTTTTCTCCGAAACCTCGACTGACCTCGCGGAGACCATCTCGTCGCTTCTCGTGCACAATTACGTCCGTCATACCACCTGAAATATAAACAAAACAGTTATTAAAGGGACTCCACCGAGGTTATTTGACATGACTAGATTAGAAATTATTTCCGAGATTAATGTCCTATTTTATGTAGGTATAGACCAATAATCTGTGTGCAAAATTTCAGATCAGATCAATTGCTCTTTTCGTTTCCATAGAATAAGTATTCTAATTGTGAAGAATGATTCAAAAATGAAGTGTTGCAACGCTTTTCACTCAAATTGGGCTAAAGTTGCACACAAATACAATTTTCAATTTATTTCTGGACATATTTCTTAATCATCTTTTGCATTATATCTGTTTTAAGTGTGGCCCCAGGTGATCTATGTAAGAAATTCAAATTTTATGTTTTACGCTTTTGGTAATCAGGGGAGTACCTTTAATAGACACTTGTAAATCAATACGCTTTTTCGGGGCAATGATTTCCTTCAAATGTGGAAACTTTCTTATGCCTTATGGAAAACCGTTGCCTTATCAGGTACCATGTACGTATTGTATGGAATAATGTACAACCCGGCAACTTAGAACTTAGGTTTAATTACCACCAATAAAGCTGGCCATTCGCCATTTTAACTCTGCATTGCCAGAATCTCTTAAACACGTCCAAAATGACAAAATTGAAAATGTTGCAGGCGCTGTTTGACTGGTCATGAACGTTACTGGAAATTGCAAGCGACCGTCACTATGCTTGCTAGATAGCGCCTTCACATGAAAGAATCCAATGTCAGGATTCGAACCCACAGCGGTCAGAGACAAGTGGTTTGAAGTCAATGACCTTAACCACTCGGCCACGGACGCCCCTATCAGACTACTATGTAAATACGTACACGAAATGCTACACATACATGTATGACTTTGGTGACTTTTATATTCAGAATTAAACATTTGAAATCGGTACAAGTTATTAATACCAGTCAGTTAACTTACCTCCAATATCTGCTAGGGCATACTTCGTGCCGGATTTGAGCACGGGTAATTTGTCATTGGAGAACATATTTGAGGGCATATTCTGTACGAATATTGACGCAGCTTCTGGTTCAAGTGCCAGTTTTATCATAGAATCTGGAAGCCCAGCCTGAAACATATACATATTGACCTTTAAACATATTTTAGTGACTTACTGAGAATTAATTATAAAATAAAAATAAAACTTTAACGGTTGTGTTTTTAATTGATGCTAATGATATGTATTGCTGGAAACTTGGACATATTCGAGTGGATGCCGAGTTGTTAATACTAGTTCTACGGCCATTTTAAATATTATATAGAACAATATATTATATAGACCTATATAATATATTTATAATCTATAACAAGAAAAGTAACAACGTCATAAACGAAGCCACCATTACAACCTCTACGACATTATCTCCCATACTTTATTTAACATGGAAACATTTATTGATGGTTCCTGCGTTTGAAATGTAAACTGGTACCCGGTTATTACCACATACAAGCAATGTATATATCATTCTTGTGCCCTTTATGTTTCATTTGTATTTGTCTCATAGTTAATAAGCAAACTGTAAAAATGTCGGTTTGCACACGAGACCCATATACATGTGCATTTTAACTGCGCCAGGAATATATGCGCCATGTCGTTAAAACACACCATTATAATATTATCTTACCATGGTCGCTGCTTTTCGCATGAACTGTTTTGATAACTCCGACCAGAAGGCTGGTACTGTAATCATCCAGCGAATATCGTCTGCATTGGCATCTTTCCCGCGCAAACAAAGGTCATTCAGTAACTGGCTCTTTAAATATCGGAGAGAAAGGGAGAACACTCTTAAAGCCGAGAACGCTCTCCCACCCTCGTCTGTTACCAGGGAATTCTGTCGTAAATCCTAAAATAAAAATGAAATAAAAACAAATATGGAAACAAATCATAAATCTTGCAATGTCATACGCAACACAAAGAAGGAAACTTAATTTTATCATTTTATTTTTCGTATAAAAATTATAATAAACAACTATGCCCATATCCAAAAGACGCAACATATATATAGTTAAATGAAATTCTAAAACTGAATAGGCCCTAGCTAACATATTTAAATTCTTAGTCACCCTTTTAGCTATTTTGTAAGACAAGTCAAAACCAATAAAATACCAACATCTACCCTGCCGCTCAAGCACATGACTTCTGTGTATGCGTGTTTGTGTCATTTTTGGAACCAGGGTTGCGTGTCATAGAAAGTCCTAAGTGTATCCAAGTGCTGGGACTAATGACAGACTGTAGGACTAACTTAAGACCGTTTCAATAAAAAAAATCATCTTAAGCCAAAGTTTTAGACTATAAGTTAATTCATTTTCCGGAGAAAAGTTACAAATAAAATGGCACGCACTTCAATCCGCATCGCTATTCAACAACATATAAATCAGAAGTTAAGACATTTTCTTTGAAATGGTCTTAAGACAAATTTTAGACTTAGGACCTTCCATGCGACCCAGGCTTTAATATTTACAAAAAATGAGATCTTTTTGAATACATAAGCATTCGTAAACTGAACTCAGACGAAAATAAGTAAGGGTGGAGACGTAGAAAATCAGTGCGCTTTTAACAGCTCGAAGGTGTGTTTTAACGTGACCTTGACTCTTGTTCTGAGGCTACAACACAAAAAGTACGAAAACTTGCAACAGTAAAAAAAAATCATGGTTTACATTGTTATCTTTATCTATTTCGTTTTCTCATATATAAGTCAATGACAATGTCACCACCGGGAGAGGCATTAGCACGGGAAAAGTGGGCATTTCTCGATGAATTATATTACGCAAAACAATTACTTGACAGTGACATGTCACGTATTTAATAATTACCTGTATTCCGGTCAGTTTCTGTTTGAATCTACGGAAATAAAACCATTTATTTTGTCTTCCCTCTCTAACAAGTTCTAAATATAATTTCTCGGCTTCGTATCCATACGCCTCGAACTCTTTTTTCTCGTTCAGTAGTAAACAAGAGGGTGTGCGCAGGCTTGTGAGTGTTTTGTCTGTGTGCAACCATGCTGGGTTCATCACTGAAATGGTGGATATAACTATGTTATAGAATATATAACATTAATACATAAACACTATCACACTCAAGGAATTACTACAATCGTTTTTAGAACCATTATTTGTTCGTGGAAAGTTGGGTTACAAATGGCGCCCTTATATTTATTAAAATCTAGTGAAGTTTTTTGCAATGGTTACAAGTTGAGTAAACGAAAAATTAAGGAATCTAAGTTTAGTTTTAGTTTTAAAATATAAATTTCAGCCTGATTCTGTGCCCGAAATAATGCAAAAAGGGACACCTGAGGTCTTCCTCCACCAATAAAGCTAGAAAGTCGCAATATGACCTATACTGTGTCACAGGCACGAGTATCGGACCTGGGAAGAAAAAATATGACCAGATTGATAAAAAAACCTGTGTTCATCTTAAAAGTGTCAAAAACGAAAAGAAAATATAAAATATGACCCCCTTTAAAAATATACTATAAGTTAAGAGAAGGCCGGAAACTCCAGATTCGAGCCTACGAGCAAGGGATTCATTTCCCGGGCCGTTGTGAAAACAATTGTCCAGACAATTAAAAAAAAACCTTTATCATTATTTCACGTTTGTATTACGCTTCCAAATGAGACCGTCCCCAAGTCTCTAGCCCTTCCCGTTCATGAAATATCTATCAGCAAACGAGCGAATTCGTGCTAAAATCCTTGCTAGACAAAATTGCGGCACAACGATTCAGTACGTAAACATAGACTAATACATGTTTACCAGTCTAGTACGGGTCAAAATCACTTGAATTAACTAAATGATATTACTAAATACATTAAATGAGACCACTCACAACCGTACTTAGCATCTGATACACGCAAAATTCGAATTTCAAACCTTTCCACGGTCTTTAGATTCCTTTCTTCAGCTGTTCGATATTTTGTAACGAGTCTTCTGATTGGCCAATAGCAACGAAACCGTAACGTTTCATACAAGGATGCATAATGGCGTAGAAAGCGATTTGAAAGACCGTGTAAATTCTGAAACTCGAAATGTGTGTATCAGATACTACTGTCAGTTGTGAGTGGTCTCATTTAATGTATTTAGTAATATTATTTAGTTAATTCAAATGATTTTGACCTGTACTTGGCTGACAAACATGTATTAGTCTATATTTACGTACCGAATCGTTGTGCCGCAATTTTGTCTACCAAGGATTTTTAGCACGAATGCGCTCGTTTCATGAACGGGAAGGGCTAGAGCCTTGGGGACGGCCTCATTTGGAAACGTGAAATAGTGTCTGGACAATTGTTTTCACAACGGCCCGGGAAATGAATCCCTTGCTCGAAGGCTCGAATCTGGAGTTTCCGGCCTTCTCTTAACTTATAGTATATTTTTAAAGGGGGTTATATTTTACTTTTTTTGTTTGTTTTTGACACTTTTAAGATGAACACAGGTTTTTTATCAATCTGGTCATATTTTTTCTTCCCAGGTCCGATACTAGTGCCTGTGCACTGTGTTGGTGCGACATAAAATCCAATTAAAAAAAGAAACAAGGTTTTAAAAATTGTCATTTAAAAAACAACTTTTCAGTATAAATATACTTGTACCATGAGGAAAGTTGGTATTGACATTAATAAGACTCTAAAACTCAAACTATTCTTAGATGATAGACATAGGAATTTAACCAGTTGGCCACTGCTATCCGTTTTACATAAGAAAAGTCCTTTATTTGAGTTATCTATTCTCTTTAGGCAATAATGCAGATGTAAAAATGTTTACCTATATCTTTGGCGATGGATTTCCCGTTTTTCCTTTCACAATATGCATACCCTGAGTATGACGTCCCGATTTCAAGGGCGGCTACATATGTGTAATTATCCTCGTCGTGTAGAAATAATGACATACGGCGTTCCGGCATATCAATGAACGTGTTCTGTTTGTCCAGTAACTGGGGCTGTTTCTTCGTGTTTAACATCGGGAACGTCGTCTTATGACGCTCTAACTTGGGCTAAAAAATAAAATAACATTCCATACAGGAAATCACGATCGTATTTTTTGGGCCTTTCCGCGACATTTCGGGTAAGGATTGCGCGTAATCGGCGTCCCAAATGATTCCACCAGGTGGTCATGATTTCACAAGGAAAACATTAAGCGTGCAGTGGCACAATTTGGGCACCCACTGATGTGTCATATTACCATATTAATAACTTTAGCTACTTTTTTATTGTGTCTTGGATTTTCAGTGGAGCTCTTTGGTGTTTTTCAAAAAATATTGAAAATATAGTTTTATGTACAGTAGGAACACAAATATATGTTTCAATTTCCAGTGTTTCAAATGCGATATTACATTTTGAGGTATTTACCAAGGAATCAGTCATCGCTTTATAATGTAAAAATAATATATGTACTGATTTTTTTTAACGTTGTGCGAAACCAAGTTTGACATTTAAGTTAGGTCTTTTAATAAACCGACTAAAGTATAAACAAAATGTTCATTAAAACAGTATGTCTTAGTAAGAAACAGGTGACTAGATTGACTCGTCAACACAGTCATTAAATGGAACATGCTTGTGACGTGGAAATGAACAATAATGAATGGATTATATGATAAGAGCTTTCCCTCATCACCTTTCCGACTACCTATTGTTCATTCTATTGTTTCAATATTGGCAAACATGTATATTTTTATGTCATTAGTCTGAACATAACTTGCCAACTCTGAGTTAAAAGGGATTATTTTTACGTTTTGTCTTCTGTGCAGTTTTGCATGTATTTTGTGTAATGATGACAAATATGGCGTTCCATAGATGTGTTTGTAAATTGTAACAGATTTATAGAAATGCTTAACTAAGAAATTTTATGGACAAAATTATCCAGTTTGTTTTTATTTACATTATGACGATGTTCCGAAAATAATCATAGTCGGTTAACATAGTTACATATAATATTGTTTAGAACATATTATAACATAGATATATGCATATAAATATATATATAAAATAATTACCCGTTTAGGCATTTTTGTAGACTTTAGATTTAAAAAATCCAACTAACAATTTCAGAATTTTAAATATTTCAAACTTAAACTCCCGTAAGACATTTTATTTTGTTTCGAAACCAGGTTTTCCTTAATCCTTGGATAAGAAATTATGGTAATCAAACGTACTATAAATGAATAAAGGATTAAACTTTTAAAAGATTAATGCCCTAGCATTTAAAGGCATTATAAATCAATCGAAATCATTTTGTATATCAAGCCAGTATGAATTTCATTCTGCATATTTATTTATTTTGCTATGTTTAAAGCTGCCCGCTTAAAATAATTAAAATAAATAAATAAATACTGTTTAAGAAATGTATAAATTTTCACAAAATTATTTTTTTTATCACCAGTTTCTTCAACGTGAATTTACGGCTAAAATAAAGGCACATTATACCAAAGAAATGCTTTAATTTTTATTTCTCTACAGCTTTTATTTTTTTATTTATTTTGGTGTTCTTTCATAGTTTCAAAAAAGCTGCTCATTGGCCAATTGCACGAACAACCAGATTCTTCTGGCAATTAGTACAGTTATATAGTGATTCAGTGTTTTGTATGGAAATGAGAAATTGCATTCATTTCTGAGACTTAATGCACCTCGTATGAGTAAGGAAGTATTGAATCAATTTGTTTTTAAACCTAGTCAACTTTTTTCTATCAATTTTTTAAATGTTATTAGAAATTAGCTCAAAACTCGTGACGTGCTGCTTTAAGGCGTAATAGCTTTAAACGGATTGCTCAATCCTTAAAAATAAACTATATAAATTCAAAAAGCATGGCAATAACTCAAGTTATAAGATCATTGTTTCTGTCATTTTTACTCTTTCATTGATTGACATATCAGCATTTCAAATGCATTTGGTCATTTATAAATTCTAAACATGGTCAAGATATTCATTTTACTCAAAATAATACACGAATATTATTTGATAAGTAAATAACCATAAAAATAAATATGTGACATTAAACTGTTATTCTTTTTTTCTGATATAATTCTGGTTTGTGGATCCACGTGAGTACTTGAAATTTGGTATAATCGACATACGGCCACTTTGGCATATTTGCTCAACATTTCAATTTACATCAATGATTCTGTGAAAAGTGCTCAGAGTAAACGCTTTCTAATATAGAAAATGACGTAATTTAGCGTAACCATAACACTTCATAACGTTGCCAGACGACATTTCCATATTAAGCTAACGATGTCCTGACTGATGCCGATGGGAGTGACCTTACAAAGTGGCAGAGGCGACAAGGATGGGTACCGGCGCTGCGCGAGCCCCTCTCAAGAGGACATGGCGTGAAAGAAGTCGCCCCGGGCTTGCATAACTGCCC